ACTGTGACAAATAGACTTGGTATAGAATGGCATGGGAAGCTTGATGAATAGAACTCCCATGTCTAAGAACAGGGAGTCCTTGCAATTAGTGACCAAAAAACAGCCATTCTATAGTGCAGATATCCATTGTTATTCATGAAATCATAAATTTTCCATTTTGGTATCTATGTCATAATATGCAAACGTACCGATCCATTATATACGTGTAGCAATTCTATCAGCCATTCTTCCAGGTACAAAGAATGCTTACTGCTTATCGGGGAAGCCAAAGTTGACACCGAACGGCGGGTAGACAAAGCGCTGGAGCTTACCCTCGGCCTGAAGGCCATCGCTGTACTTGCGAAGGGTAGCCATGTCCTCTGCATCCAAGTGAATCAAGTCGGCACGGTTGGCCTCGATGCGGGCAGGGGTGACGGACTTGGCCAAGACCGAAGAGCCACGGGCGACTAGGATAACCGGTTAGTACGCTGTATCTGGTCTAGGGTGTGGAACCTCGAGGAATACTCACTGTGCCAGCTGAGCAAAACAGTAGCTGGAGTAACTCCGCGCTTCTCAGCGACGGCCACGATGGGCTCAGCAGTAAACAGCGGGCTTCCGGTGCTGCCCAGTGGGCTATAAGCGGTGATGTGAATGCCAGCCTTGTTGCAGAAGTCGACAATCTCCTGTTGGGGAAGCAAGGGGTGGTTCTCGATTTGGTTGGCAGCGGGGACAATGGTTGCCTGGGGTAGGAGTTCCTCGAGGTACTTGACACTGTAGTTGGAAACACCAATGGCCTTGACCTTGCCGGTGCCGACGAGCTTCTCCATACTCTTCCAAGTAGTGACATGAGAGTGGCTGTGGGTAATGTCCCGCGAGCCATCAGCAAGCTTGGGGAAGATGTTATGGTTACCTGCGGTTGAAGTGGTCAGCATCTCGAATCTACTTAGTTGATAAAACTCAACTCACCCTTGGGGTTCATTGCCAGGGGCCAGTGCATCAGATAAAGGTCGACATAGTCTAGCCCAAGGTCTTTCAGACTCTGCTCGAGGCCCTCTTCAACCCGAGCGTGGTAGGAGCACCATAGCTTGGTGGTCACGAATAGGTCCTCGCGCTTGACAATGCCGCCGTCAATGGCCTCCTTGATACCCTGGCCGACTTCGTTCTCATTGCCGTAGCAAAGAGCGGCATCTATATGACGGTAGCCAACCTTGATAGCGTGGAAAACGGCGCGCGCAACCTCGCCGGGCTGGGATTGCCATGTTCCCAGACCGAGTGCGGGGATCTCGGCGCCAGTGTTAAGCTTGAAACGGGTATCGCAGGCAGCCATTGTGAATGTATAGGGTATCAAGAGATTATTTACAATATAGAACAAGGAATATGAACAGAATGAAGTTCAAATATAAAGAAAGATAAACCTTTCTCGGGGGAATTTTACTAATCAATAGAACCCCCACGCGGGGCTATTCCCTTCATGGCCAAGGACGTCGGCCTTTTTTCCATCAATCACTAGGAACTTCTAATCTTCTGGAATTTTCGATTGTTCCGATGTACGATGGAATAGTCTTGGAGCTCTATGCCATTATCACTCAAGAAAAAAAACATCCTTGATAACCGCCAGACCAATACCCAGATCCAAATCAGCAGATCAGCGGAAACCGTCTTCCAGTTCGAAGAATTTCTCCCCACTTGACATCACAGCCACTCCACATAGTCAGCTTGGGGTCGTGGGGTCGCTATGGCTGCCAATCATCATCTTTCTTTTGGAGAGCAACCCAGATACTCATCGGCGCGGAAGCCAGAATCCGTGATGTTTCACGATTTTTCATCCCGCATACACAATACATCGATATGATGGCAAATCAGGCAAATGGAACTGGGGAGAGTCCTCACACAACCGCTGACGTCGGAAATCTACACGCGATATTCTCTGGAGCCTCGATCCTATATATACACTGGACATCCTGAAGTCAAGTCCTGTGCCGACTCCAGACCTTTTTACGATTTGATAACTGCAATCTCATTTGTCAAACTTTAAGCCTCAATTTTATATCTCATAGAAACCAAGGGACTCTATTCCTCTCATACAGTCGAAATGGCACCAGTCGCCATCTCCCCACAGGCCTCTCCTGTCTTCAAGAAGCGTGATGGCCAGGCACTCGAAGAAATGTCAGACGCCATTGACGAAGTGAATGTTCTCAAAGACATGAAGAAGCGCGAGGCTGAAAAGAAAGAGGCCAAAGAGAAGGGTCTATATGAAGAGTCTGAATTCGACAAGGAGAAAGACAAGGCCAATTTCCGCCAGTACGAAGACGCCAGCGACCGAGTCAAGAACTTCTACAAGGAACAGCACACCAAGCAGACCGTTGCATACAACCTCAAGGCTCGCCATGACTTCCATAGCAAGACGCGCGCCGAGATGACCGTCTGGGAAGCCATGGAGAAACTCAACACCCTGATCGACGAGTCAGACCCCGATACCAGCCTCTCTCAGATCGAGCACCTATTGCAATCCGCCGAGGCTATTCGTCGCGACGGCAAGCCCCGCTGGATGCAGCTGACTGGTCTAATCCACGATCTGGGCAAGCTCCTCTTTTTCTTTGACGCCGAAGGCCAATGGGATGTTGTCGGCGACACTTTCCCCGTCGGCTGTGCCTTCGATGAGAAAATCGTTTACGGCCGCGACTCGTTCCGTGACAATGAAGATTTCGGCCACAAAATTTATGACACCAAGTTCGGTATCTACACACCCGGCTGTGGTCTCGATAAGGTCATGCTCTCCTGGGGCCACGATGAGTATCTCTATCACCTCGCCAAAGAGCAGTCGACTCTTCCCGATGAGGCGCTCGCCATGATCCGCTATCACTCTTTCTATCCTTGGCACAGCGCTGGTGCATACCACGAGCTGATGAATGACCACGACCGTGATATGCTGCGTGCTGTCAGGGCTTTCAATCCGTATGACTTGTACAGCAAGAGTGATGGAATTCCTAGTGTTGAGGAGTTGAAGGTATGTTTTGCTCCCGCTATTTTTGAACCTAAGGCTGACTTGTTTCTTTCTAGCCGTACTACATGGAGCTCATCAACGAGTACTTCCCCACCAAGGTTCTGAAGTGGTAGATGTCTGCGAATTGCTCTTGCGTCTTCATTTCACACATACCATTTCACGATTCCCCTTTTTTACCATCTCAGTTCCATGAAAATAGCCACGATATATGCGATTCCATTTATTAGCGTTAGAATCCTACTTTTTTAACCTTGGATCCACTCCAGGCAATCGAATCTAGAAATTAGGGTAGATAGAGACGAACGTAACTATCCCTTCAATGCACTGTTTATACATCAGAAATTCAAGAGTATGCTAGAGTGAAAAATGGTATCAAATGTCACTAACACGCTACGCTACTGTTCACAGGATGGCCTACACCTGCATGCGTAGAATGAAATCAGATATCTCCCCTTCGATGTTGCGATATGTAGAGTTAGATAAGTCCTACTACTTTGAAGTAAATGCAAGAATGGATCCATATTGAAATCATGTTGAAGTCGTATATCGTATTATTTTTGAAAGGGTATATACAAAAACCCAAGATACATCGCACATTATTCACAGACGAGCCAACTCCGACCGGTTCCCATTCTCATCGAAGAAAATCTTCTTCTGCGTGATCATCGACTCCTGCAGCGCAGCACCGATCCTTACAGCCTTAACAGCATTGTTAAGATCAATAGGCAAGGCAGTATCATCAATGCAAGCAGCCGTGAACTCATTAGCCTCGGTGACAAACGCATACTCAAAGCGATCATAGTAGGTCTGTGGGATCTCCCTCCTCACCCCCGACTCATCATAGATATTAACATGATTAAGCGCCGGCTGGGTATTGACAGCCAGTTTTCCCTTCGTTCCAATGATCTCCGTAACATCTTCCTGGCCGGCGGCCATCATGCGGGAAGCATAGAAGAAGGCCATACGGCCATCGTAGAACTCGACTAAACCAACGGCGTTGTCGCGGTCGTTGTGTTTGCGCAGGTCGGGCTCCACGGCTGTGATGCCTACAGCCGACACGGACTTCACTTTACACTCGTCGCCGAAGAACCAGAGTGTCAGGTCGATGTCGTGGATGGAGCAGTCGACAAAGATCCCGCCGGAGAACTCTGCGTACGCGACGAAGAACCCGCTCGGGTCGAGTTTGTCGCAGGTTTGGCTGCGGAGTACTGACGCAGTGCCGATTGCTCCTGACTGCATCTTCTGGTATGCATCTCGATAGGACTTGTCGAAGCGTCGGGAGAAACCGCACATCACTTTGAGGTGGGGCTTTTTGGCTGCTGCATCGATGACGGATTGGGACTGTATAAAAGGTGAATTGTCAGTCATTGGTTCCCATATTTGTTTCTTTGTATTTGGTACACGAAACTACTTGGCGGTGAGATTGATTCAAACTGCGACCAACTTACCACTTCAACGCTTGTAGAGATAGGTTTTTCGCAGAGGACGTGCTTGTCGGCTTCAATTGCTTTGATTGCCTGCTCGGCATGTACTGCAGTTGCCGATGCAACCACCACGGCAACCAAACCTTCATGCTTGAGCATGTCGTCGTAATTCTGGTACAGGCGTACACCAAATGGTTCGAGGTGAGTCTTGGCCCATTCGAGCTCAACGGGGTCAGGGGAACTAGCAGCCACAAGCTCAGCTCGGGGAGTACGCTCCAGGAAGTTCAGGGCATGGCGCTTGCCCATACGGCCTAAACCAGCACAACCGATCTTCAATCTTTGGGCAGTCATTGTGTAGAAGTATAGGCCAAGAAGATCCCGCAGATGAAGAATGTCAAGAATATCAAGAAAAAAATAAAAATCAATTGCTAACAAAGGGGAATTTTGAAACTGAGCTGTAGTTATAAAGTCGGAGCTAAATGCGGAGGCCAGTCTCCGAAGATCATCTCCGCAAACGTGGGGTCGGAAAGTGAATTCCACACCGAAACTCGAATATTAAGATGCCGGAACATAAAACATAGGCCATTAACCCGTTAATTGGCTTCCGTGTCGGGTTTCTTCGATTCCCGACGCAATTTGCGTTTCGCGATATCCACAGGATCCGCAAATCCATCACCTCGTAGCCAACCCAGAGCTTTACGCAGTCCACCACCCTGCACGGCCTCGGGGTTCGCCTCAAGGATCGACCCCATAAGCGCCCAAGACATAACAAACAACAACAGCTCACCGCTTCTTCGGCCCTTCCATAGTCCGCGCTTGACCCCAGTCTTGTACGCCGAATCAACAGCGGCCCGGAAGAACCAGAGGAAAGTGCTGCGGCTATTGCCCAGGAACAAAAAGGGTAGACCGCCCAGTGCTCCACTGAGGAAGAACCGTTTCGTAGGAAGCGTTGTTCGGGGCAAGTTGTTGTTCAGGAGACACACACTACCCCACGCTGAGCCAATTGCAGCAGACAGAACCGCTGTCATGGTGATGATCCGCTTTGAGATAGTGTTCAATGACGAAATAGGCTGAAGCAGGATACTCTTCAGTTTGGGAATCGAAAGCGCCAGAGTCACAGCCGTGAGGAAGCGCGCAAGCGGCGGCACAGAGAGGAGGATGTGATGTAAGAATGCCGTGCTGCAGTTCGGGAGGCTCGGGTGCAAGAGGGCGCATGATAGATTTGAGATCGCTGGGTGTGCTGGTCCAGTGATGGGGGAGATGGAAGCCACCGATGACGGCAAGGTGTTGAGGTCGTCGGGGTGTAGGATTGGAGAAACGAATGCCCTGTGTCATATTAGCGATCGCAATACACTCTGACATACTCAGCTTCAAACATACGGCCAACGAAGATCAGCAATAGAGGCGAGAGAGTTCACGATCTCTTCCTTCTCGGGCCAGGCGATGTTGGCCGGGAGCGACTCCGGTCGGCCTTGGATGTAACTCGGTGAGAGTCTCAAGATCACATTTCCAAACCACTATAGGATCGAATTAGCGACCGTAACTCAATTTTTGAAATCTCCGACCACAAACATTGGGTGTGGTCTCGCGATCAAACACGAAAGCATGGAAAAGCTGCCCAAATGAGATGGGCATCAACAGCCAGCTGCCGAACCACCACGGGCGCTTATCCAGCCAGCCTTCAGAGTCCAGGACATTGAACAAGAATTCCAAACTCCTGGTGCCAGTGTAAATTGCCGCAGTCAGTCGAAGCTGATCCTGCGGACAGATACCTAAGGCGAAACCCGCCAGACTTGCTCCGATCGCTGGGGCAAAGCGCGAGGTCAACGCCCGCGAGACACGCGGGTTGCGTTCTCTGAATGGTTCTGCCTCATCGGTGCGGAGGTTGGCTCGCAGTCGGATGAGGAAGCGGTAGAGGAGGCGATGGATGAGAAGGAGGAGGGAGAGGGAGATGGAGAGACGGAATTTGGGAGACCGGAAGAGGGGGGTTCGGGTCTTTTTCCTGTAGAGCCAGTGTTAGTGCTTATTCCTAAAAGAGGAGTCTCTTGATAGATTAATGATCTTACTGTGGAGCGCCTTGGAACCGAGTAATCAACAGATCCGCCAACTTCAACGCGATTCCAGAGCCGACGAAGACTCGCAGCGATGAGCGAATAGCAGCTTCACTGTGGCGATTCTTCGGGCGAGCAATGACATCGTAGCGAGATGGAGATGGTAGCTTGTTTTGCACGGCAGGGGCGCGTTTGGTCACCGATTCGTGAAGGAATCGGTATTCCTTTGCGCTAAGACACACGCGAAGGACGTCACGTACAGCGCGGGGTGGGAGTTCCAGCGCATCCGCATCTGGGACTGGCTTGTCCGACATGGTGGTTGTTGATATCAAGTTAGAACATAATTGCTATGGAAGTCCGGGGGATGAGAAGGGGGGGGCCTTCAGACGCGGAGAAGCCCGACCTCGGCAAATTCCCCAACACATGGAGAAAGGTGCATGCAACGTACATACATATATTGTAAGGACTGTAAATACATATATATTTGAAATACTTTAGGTGAATTGAGGACCAGCGTAAGGACACTTTTGACCCAAAACATCATCAATATCCATCAGTCGATTATACTTGGCAACTCTCTCCCCCGACAAGGTGCCCCGGATTTTAGATGGCCTGTTCCCAGTCCAACTACCAAATCAGCAATAAAATCATCAGTAGTCTCGCCAGACCGGTGGGATACGAAAACATTCCAACCAAAACTATACGCCAAATTTGCCCTATGAATCATGTTAGCTTGTTTTCAGATAGGAAAGAAGGTGATACTTACGCTTCGATTGCTTCGGAGATGGTGCCGATTTGATTGATTTTGAGCAGCATAGCATTGCACGCTTTCTTATCCTCTGCCTCTTGCACATACTTAGTATTCGTGACCAGCAAATCATCCCCAACCAGCTCGACTGGACATTCTTTGTTAAATTCGGTCCAACTATTCCAATCATTTTCGGCGAATGGATCTTCCAGCAAAACGATGGGATAATTTTGCAACAACGAGTGATACAGCTCTGAGAGTTGCTTTGGGCTGTGCAAGTTCGGTTTGTCTTTGAACCCAATATCGTAGTCTCCATTCCTGAAGAATTCGCTCGATGCAGGATCGATCGCAAATTTGATTTTGCCGCTATAACCAGCACGAGAAGTGGCTTCAACCAAGAGGTCTAGTGCCTCATGAGGCTGGGAAATCGGGGGTGCAAACCCGCCTTCGTCTCCAATGCCGGTAGCTTGAGATGATCAGTATAGTTTACGATATTGTGTGAAGGTATGCTTACCAGACGGTCCAAACTTCTCAACAATGGTCTTCTTCAGGTGATGGTAAACTTCGCTACCCATCTGTACTGCTTCTGTCAAAGAGGAAGCCCCGACAGGAGCGATCATAAACTCTTGAAAAGCCATCTTGTTACCGGAATGCACACCCCCGTTCAAGACATTGAAGAACGGCACTGGCATCAGTAATGGCCTCTTTGCTCCAGACTCACGTCGAAGAAACTCGTACAACGGAATTCCCTAACTATACATCAGCTATCATTTTCGATCGTTCATCTGGATTTTGACTTACTGCATGGGCTGCGCCCGCTCTGGCACATGCCATACTGACGCCCAAAATGGCGTTCGCCCCGAGCTTTGCCTTGTTTTTGGTACCGTCCAGATTCTTGAGGAACGAATCAATGCGTTTCTGGTCTGTATCAACCTTGAGCCCGCTCTTCACTAGCGCAGGACCAATGACCAGTCCGACGTTTGACACAGCTTTCTGGACGCCCCGGCCACCATATGCAGAGGCGTCGCCATCTCGCAGCTCAAGAGCCTCATTTGCACCTGTGGACGCACCAGAGGGAACAATGGCTCGAAAGGTACCTGCATCAGTGTAAGAATTTAACTTGTCTATAGCTGCGAGTTTAATGTACGGCTGCTCCATTACCTCTGTCTGTAGTAAGATCAACTTGAACAGTTGGGTTTCCCCGTGAATCCAAGCGCTGAGCAGCCTGGATTGACCTGATCATTATGGATTCAATGTGATGAAGTGTGGTAACTTGATACCTTGAAAGATTGGAATGGTGATTTTTATCTATCATCCATCATTACGATATCCCCAAGAGCAACCTTGAAATGACGTAGTGTCCGTATAATGTACGGGATTACATACTATCCGTGTGATGTCCACGGGTAATAGGTAGGTGACAGGCGATGATGTCAAGACTCAAGCGGAGGATAGTTGATAACCCACAAGTTAGATCTAGTCCAGATTGGCGGATTGACACTTTCTTTATTGTTCTGACCCCGATATTGTTTCGAGCAATTCAAGTCTATCGCGACGAATAATCGTGAAATATGACAGGGGAAGTATAAGAGTGTTGTAGTTTCCACCTTTCTGGCCCTGCGGACAGTTTATCTCATGTGCTGTCCAAGGTCTGTATGATGGGAAATGTGCGGCACCTTCAAGTTCAATGCAGTATTCCCGAAGAAAAGAAATCAAAAGTCGAAATACTATGGAAGACTTATTCGCATACATCACAAACATTGCGTCTTAGAACAGATCGCGCCCCCTATGCCCTTGGTTTATAAACCTCCAAGCACCTATATTGAGTTCAAGGCTGCAGCAATATATTCGAGACCACAGCGCAATCATAGGTTCTGCAAGAAGTTCTGCCACAACTTCCAAATATCTGTTTCAAGTCCGGAGTAGTCATATGACAGTGTTGCCAAGCTTGTTGATAAAAAATGAAGTCTATGGGCTTCTAAGGTTGTCACCCAGTATCAGCTTTGCAATGTATAAATTTCCGGCATGTACCATCGCTGGCAGTGATATGTTGCCTTCTTGGTTGTTTCGGCAGCCTATGATCAAGTGCGATTTCCTTGACTACAAGGCGTGTACACGATCACATACTCAGGTTAGGGGTACTAGGAACATGTAGATACCATCTGAAGCATCTTGATTTATAATGCGTTTTTGCTTCTCTCTTATAAGGTACCAATTAAACAAAACACCGGACTCTGAATATCAGAGTGGATTTCTGTTTCAGCGCCACAAAATCTTCTAGGATGGGTCTACATGTATCGAGCCTTCCATCGCACAATCTTGAAATTAAGTGATTGGCGTGAAACACAAGCTCGACGGAGCTCCACATAGCTTTCAACGGCGCCTAAGCATATAGTCTGCAGATATGAATTCTGTATCCTGATTGGACAATGACCAGTTCATCCCAGACTGAAACCAATATGTCTCGGGGTCAATTTAGCCGATGATATTCCGAGCATAAATTATTCCGGCATCGTCGTTTCCGTAGGGCTCTAGACTCGGTGGATCTAAAGGTTTCGGAGAATTGCCAGGTTGGGTGTAGCTAACACTAATAGATTAATTCATCGTCTCCCTGGGCCTCCTGAATTAATCCATTGAGTTCTCCGACTACGAACAGGGGTCAGCCTCATGGTAGATGGTGATATTCCCGTTTCAGAAGGAAACTAGCGTAGGAGCTCTACGCAGGATATCGTGCAGACCAAGCCTTTAAGTACCAAAGCCAAGCTCGATGGAATAGCTTGTTCAAACCCATTCATTCATTCACTCTTTTCTCATTTCCTATTGCACTCAAGCTGGGCCAGTCCCGAGCATTCACACTCTCTTTACTTGTCTGTTGATCGGACATTTACTTCAGTATGCGTACATCTTTCATTTCCATGCTGGCCCTCGGCGCCGCCATGGTGTCCGCTGCCCCAGCTCCTTCTCGTGTTTCCGAGATCGTTGAGCGCTCGTCTTCGACCTGCACGTTCAACTCCGCTGCCAGTGCCAGCGCTAGCAAGAAGTCCTGCTCTACCATTGTGCTGGACAACATCGCGGTCCCTGCCGGCAAGACTCTTGACCTTTCCAACTTGAAGGAAGGTACCAAGGTAGATATCTCCGTTATCCGAGCACTAAAAACAAAATACCTAATACTACTGTTTAGGTCATCTTCAAGGGCGAGACCACCTTCGGATACAAGGAGTGGAAGGGCCCCCTCATCCGCTTCTCCGGCTCAAACATCGAAATCAGTGGCGCAGAAGGCCATGTGATCAACGGCGACGGAGCCAGATGGTGGGACACCAAGGGAACCAACGGTGGAAAGACCAAGCCCAAGTTCTTCTACGCTCACTCCCTGGACCACTCGTCCATTACCGGTCTGAACGTCAAGAACACCCCCGTCCAGGCTTTCAGTGTCCAGGCTGATAACCTGGTCCTTGACCACATCACCATCGACAACTCGGATGGTGATAAGAATGGCGGCCACAACACCGATGCGTTCGATGTTGGCGAGAGTACCTATATCACCATCAGCAACGCCAACATCAAGAACCAGGACGACTGTCTGGCTGTCAACTCTGGCGAGGTAAGCAGTCAAACAATCTCTCTACAATGCCAAATCTAACCCAATGTTCTAACAGAATATCGTCTTCACTGGCGGCTACTGCTCCGGTGGCCACGGTATCTCCATCGGATCCGTTGGTGGACGCGACAACAACGTTGTGAAGAATGTAACTATCTCCGACTCCACCGTGACCAACTCTGCCAACGGCGTGCGCGTCAAGACCATCTACAAGGCCACCGGTTCAGTCTCCGATGTGACCTTCTCCAACATCGAGCTGTCCAAGATCACTTCCTACGGTATCGTTATCGAGCAAGATTACGAGAATGGCAGCCCTACCGGCAAGCCCACTACTGGTGTCCCCATTACCGGCCTTACTGTCGAGAAGGTTACCGGCACTGTTTCGAGCAGCGCTACTAACGTCTTCATTCTTTGCGGTAGCGGCAGCTGCTCTGATTGGACCTGGGCTGGCAACTCTATCACTGGTGGTAAAACTAGCAGCAAATGCAAGAACGTGCCTTCTGGGGCTTCTTGCTAGATTGCCAGTGATCAAACGGTGATCACTGCATAGTATGACCCACGCAGGGATTGCGATATCTTTAGGGCAAATTTGACTGGATGACCAAGGGGATGACGAGGTGAAATATGTTGCCAGTCATATTGCTTTTTTAGACGTCATTGTATAGTGTACTTATATAGCCATCTATAGATGGATTCAATTGAACATTTTTGGAGCTATCTAATGCTAACTAAAGACGAGACTGTAGTACGCACCTAAAATTGGCACAATTGACCGATAAACTCAATTTCTATACAGCTAGGAAACTTTTCTTCGCGATTAGAAATCAACGCCAAGTTCAACATCTGGAGGGTACCCATTTCAATGACGCAACTCACTTCGTCTCCCCAACTGACAATCACACATAAATACCAAGCATCTTCTCTCTTTCTCTTTTCTTCACATACAGAGTCATACAGTCATATCCAAAATGCGCGTCCTTCTACTCGGCGGTCACGGCAAAGTCGCCCTCCACCTTACTCCGCTCCTCCTCAACAGAGGCTGGAATGTAACCAGCGTCGTTCGCAACCCCGCGCATGAAACCGAGATTCTGGCTCTAGGCCAAGGGCACAAGGGCACTGTCAAAGTGCTAGTCTCTAGTCTAGAGGATGTAAAGAGTCCCTCAGATGCTCAAGTAATCATCGACACAGCTACACCGGACTACGTCGTCTGGTCTGCTGGTATGATATCCCTTCCCCTCACCCCGCATCTTGTCCGTCGCAACCTTCACGACACAATACACAATTGATACACATTCGACACATCATTGATACACAATCAATTATTCCCTAATGTGCAACACACTTAACCCATAAACTAACACTGGAATATAGGCGCCGGTGGTGTGGGCGGCCCAGCACGCACAATCGCTATCGACCAAGAAGCCGCGAAGCACTTCATGACAGCCTCCTTCGCCACACCGGGAATTAGCAAGTTCCTCATGGTCTCCTACCTCGGTAGTCGGCGTAATCAGCCGAGCTGGATGCCAGATGACCAATGGGCGGGGTTAGTGAAGACCAACTTGGAAGTCCTGCCGACCTACGCGAAAGCCAAGATAGAAGCCGACGAGTACATGACAGCATTGGCTGAACAGCGAAAGCGCGCGTCTGGATCGCTGCCGCCTTTCCAGGCTATTAACCTGCGGCCTGGCATTCTGACCAACCAGCCTGCGACGCGGAAGGTCGCCCTGGGGACCACGCCTAACGGCCGGGGAAGTGTCACTCGGGAGGATGTGGCAATTGTCGCAGATCTTCTACTTTCTAGGGCTGATACGGAGGGGTGGATTGATCTTGTTAATGGGGAGGAAGACGTTGAGGAGGCTGTTGATAGGGTTGCGAGGGAGAAGATTGATGCTGTTGCTGGGGAGGATGTTGAGGGAATGGTTAAGAGGTTCTTTCCGTAAGAAATTATACAGCTCGGGCTTGAATATCTAGATTTTCAAGTCACGAAAGGGCTTGGGATTAGATATGGATACACTACTTTTCGGGTGTTAGATCTTTCAAACATCAAAACGAACATGATGAACATGAACAAATCTAAGGTTTATATTGTATGCCTATTTAAAGAGAACTCATTCACAGCTTGGCTTTGGGTGCCTCGGCTGCCCCCTTGAACTTCGACTTCAGAATCCGACGCAGGATCTTCCCACTGGGATTCTTGGGGATCTCATCCACAAACTGCACACCGCCGCGCAGACGCTTGTGGCTGGCAACCTTGCTATCCAGCCATTTGGTAATGTTCGCTGCTTCGTCCTTCTCGCTTATTCCAGAAGACTTGCTCTTCGCGCTGCGAACGACACAAGCCATAGGAACCTCGGAACCGTGTGTCTCACTCTCAATACCAATGACAGCAACGTCATCAATGGCATCGTTGTCAACCAGATATCCTTCCAGCTCAGCAGGGGGCACCTGGAAACCCTTATACTTAATGAGTTCCTTGACACGATCGGTAATGTAGAAATTGCCCTTGGCGTCTTGGTAACCAACGTCACCAGTCTGGAACCACCCGTCCTCAGACAAGCAGCCCTTGGTAGCTTCTGGGTTCTTGTGATAGCCCAAGAAAACGTTAGGTCCACTGAGGTAAAGTTCACCAACCTCGCCTACGGCAACCTCCTGGGGCGCGGATCCATCCTCAGGCATAGTCATATACTTAGCTTCCATATTAGGCATCAAACGGCCAACAGAGCCCATAGCCTCGCGCCAATCCTCCCATCGCTGAGAGTGCGTGGTTGGGCTGGTCTCACTGAGTCCGTAGCCTTGCTTGATACCAACCTTGATGCGGGAGTAGACTGCCTCCACCAGCTCTTGTGTGAGCGGTGCGGCGCCGGAGTTCATCATGCGAAGACTCGAAAGGTCATATTTGTCGACCACCGGGTGCTTTCCTAGCAACAGTACCACAGGGGGAACGATATAACTGAACGTGCAGCGGTAGTTCTGTACGTGTGCGCACCACTTCTCAATGTCGAATTTCGACATGACAATCAAGTGGTAACCCTTGTATAAAGCCTGGGTAATCAAGCAGGTCAGTCCTAATGACTTGTAGTTAGCATCTTGTTCATCCAAGTATTCACGCAATTAGAAAACCATACCGTAAATATGATAGAAGGGCAAGAATGCCAGGACGCGATCACCCTTTCCATCATGACCGCCATTCCAACTCAACATTCCACCCTCGCCAATGAACTGCTGTCTGATATTGGCAACGATATTCCGATGTGACAGCATGACACCCTTAGGCACACCGGTAGTTCCAGACGAATAGACCAAAAACGCCACATCCTTTACAGGATTGATCTTCTGCTTGCGGTATCGAGTAGCACCAGAGATATTGCGCACAGAAGTGAAATGCTTGACCCGTGCATCGGGATCCCGTTGGTCCCCAATCAAAATAATGCGGTCCTCAGACATGCCGACTTTCTTCGCAGCTTCCTTCGCAGCCGACAGCAGCTGAGCTTGCGTTACGAGTCCCTTAGCACCAGAGTTCTTGAGCTGAAAGGCCAGCTCGTCAACCGTGTAACCTGGGTTCGCCGGCGAGAGAATTCCGCCGGCCCAAAGCGTGCCCCACATCACCACGGGTGTGTCGATGCTGTTTGGGGTGAAGAGTGCCAGTACATCGCCCTTGCGCCAGTCATGGATGGCTTTCAAGCCTTTTCCAAATTCCAGTGAGGCATCGCGGAGCGATTTGTATGTGTAATGGCGTTGAGTGTCGGCATCTTGATAGAGAACTGGTGGGGCTAGGTCAGTATGAAGGGCAAAAAAAAAGAATTGCCGTGTTTAACGGCAAAGCATTGGGATGCTCATTGGACACACACTCTTATCATCTGGATAAGCTCTGTCCTTGCGCTCAAATAGAAAGGTCCAGAGGTCCACTTCTGGGATGTCGACCAGGGGGTAATTGGATGAGACGGGCATTGTGGGGAAATCAAAGTAAGCCGAGATGTAATAGCTAAGAGACTGTCAGATGAAAGAAAACAGACGCAAGCCGACTACTTAAAGAGGTGCTTCTCCGCACTCTCGGCTCGCGGCTTGCCTCGGCCCTATGCATTAGCCTCCGGCCGAAGGCCCCATTAAAAACTGCTTTGGTGAAGTTTGTACTTTGTGAAATTGGACTGAACGCTGTAATGCCACATACTGTGCACTGCATAGTCCAAATCATCTGCTCCGTTGAGATTCACGCGTACTTGTGATTGTTGACATTGTCAAGATCGGCACTCGGAGATCTCGGGGTTTAACGTCGCAGATATATATATTATTACACATAACGGACCTTGCCGAGTGCCGAATGGCAATGTTCTAAGCAATAGCAGGAAATATGTTGTATATAGTAAATTAAATCAAACATAACGTTGACGAACTATAAAATCTAATGCAAGATTTGTAGGGAGCGATGTGAACCAACCATATAAACATAAAGTGCGGAATCTTGGAGATAGTATCAAAGTCGGGTAATCCTATAGAGTGACACGGAGTGAGTCTAAAGCAATGATAATAATACGTGGAATATTCAGGTGCAACGCATCTAGCAATTTGAAGTGGCCTTTGCATTTAGGAAGAGACCTATCAGAGATATATGATATATACCAACGGATATAGCACAGTGGTATGTTCTCCATGGCCAGCAATGCAGAAATCGAATACACACGGAACTCAATTCTACTGTAAATGTGCTACCAAGTCTTGTGAGTTCACATTCAATATAATATTTGCATGTAGTGAGCCTTGACCCTGCCGCTAAATTCAATGACGCTTCCCCAGAATCAAGGTAGCGGAGTCCAACTTGTGGAGTAGTTCACAGTAATGTGGCAGTGTCAATGAGGATGACCTAGACCCAGAGGCATGAGGGCTAGTCTGATTCTCTCATTCAGTTTACTGGCCTACGATGTGGCTGAAAATGAAATTTTTGATGTCGTTAGATTTAGACTCCTTCCCTGATGACATAGAGCGACACGAGGGAAGGAGTATCTTTTTATTTTACCTCGCCAGACTCGACGAGGGACTAAATCCAAATCCCAAGATGATTTCATGCCGACAAGATCTTAAATTGAGTTGGAAACAGCTGACCCGCACTGGAAATACATGCTGAAAAAAAAACCCAGTTGAGAATTTTGCTGAATTCCATTTTTGCTTTCCCAGCACCATTTCCTCCACACACCACTCCGAGGGGAATCGTTTGAAATCGTTTACTTGAGGGGAATGAAACGGGAAGAGTGGGTGGCACCGATACCGGGACGACCGTGCTTGACGGGCTTGCTGGGAGGTTGTTAGTGCTCTGATTTGAATCATGGGAAATGAACATATGAAGCACATACTAAGAGATAGAGAACTCAGCCAGGTAGTGGCCAACCATCTCGGGCTTGATCTCAACCTGGTTGAACTCCTTACCGGAGTAGATACCGACGACGGAGCCGATCATCTCGGGGACGACGATCATGTCACGGAGGTGGGTCTTGACGAGATCGGGCTTCTCGTTGGGCTTGGCCTCCTGCTTGGCCTTGCGGAGCTTCTTGATGAGACCCATGGGCTTGCGCTTCAGGCCGCGGTTGAAACGTCTGCGGGCACGGGCGTGAACGACATCACGGAGCTGCTCGGAAGAAAGGTCGAGGAGCCTGTAGAAGGATTCAGTTAGACCAATATCCTTGCAAACTTTTAATCCTTGGTGTCCATATGCAATGCAGTGCCTCCCAAAGGCTAGAACCAGGATGTCACAGGCAGTTTATCCGATGTGTTTTGGAATGTCAGATGACCATCTTCGATTCCATTTCACGAGGCACTGGCTGCGAATGGAAGCCCAAGGGTTCGATGATTGGTGATGGTAACGTACTGGTCGAGGTCAATACCGCGGTAAGAGAACTTGCGGAACTGTCTTCTCTTCTTGATCTCTGTTCGGCGAAGGTTCAGTCAGCGTCTGCGATCTTGTTGTAGTGCTTGTCTCCCTGCATCCCAGGTCGATGTTGTTCCCCGCCAACGTGTATATCTCCAACCCTTATCGTATTGTCGATCGTAATGCGCGCTTTCTCCTCTCATGCGGTTCTTCTATCCATGGGCGATGGGTGGGAATGGGGATGATTTTTCATAACGTACCGGCAGCCTCCTCGGCGTTCTAAATAAAAACTCCATGTTAGTGTATCGCACGGGCTTAAGGGCAAAAAAAAAAAACTCACGTATTCGGTGTCAGCCATTTTTGCAGATATTCCTGTAAACCGCCTTTCGACCGTGTCTCGAAAAGCGAAGGAGGATGGGTTGTCGGAAATTGTCGTGTCGCTGAGCGGTCGGGCTACTAGCACACAGGCTCTACGAGGTGGGCAGCACTCGTTAAGCGACGGGTAGGTTCCAAGCCCTAGACACTATACCCCTTCGGGCTACGGGTAATCTATTTTGAACCTTTCGTTTTTGCTTTGTAATCAAAACTTTTGTAATATTGAGTTACTCAACTTTGTTCTGCCGTTGCATACAAAAGCTTGTACCCATCACTGTAATTTATCTGTATTATGATTACCCATCAACCCCCAGGGCTGACATGCATGTTTCAAGTATCGTGATCGGAGGTTATTAATGGCCCTTATCTGAGTACATTGAACGAACATGACGTGGATGGCTAGGCCTCTAGTTCAATAGACGTTCAGACAAGAGTACAGCCTATTGCTCTAAACGATGAGCGGGTCCCGGCGATCTTTGGAAACTACGTATTGAGAATGAGAAAATATTGTAGTGAAGGGCAGACGAATTGTTATTGGCTATAGGAGCTTATTCCAGCTCACATGAAAAGGCGCAACTGTATCAAAACAGTCTTGACCGAACACACTTGAGAAGCCAACCGGCGCAAATCTTGCCCGGGCTGACGAACCAACCAAACATCTGTTCCCCAGAACCATGATTTTTAGGCCTTTGATTAAAGCGCTTAATCGAAGAGACCGAAGCCCATATCCTCATCGGACTCCTCCTCCTTCTCCTCGACCTTCTCCTCAGCGGGAGCGGCGGCACCACCGGCAGCGGCAGCGGCAGGGGCAGCAGCGCCAGCGGCACCACCGGAGGGAACGGAAGCGAGCTTGGTAGAGCCCTCAGCGATCAGCTAGATTAAAAGTCAGCACGCGGTTCGGATCTGATTCATGCACATCCGAGTATCACTAACCTCCTGGAGGTCCTTGCCCTGGAGCTCGGAGATGACCTTCTCGAGACGGTCACCCTCAGCGTCGATGCCGACGGAGGAGAGGACAGCCTTGATATCGGCGGAGGAGGGGGCCTCGTTGCCGGCAAGGGCGAGGAGGAGGTAGGCAGCGAGATACTTCATTTTGAAAGGACTGGACAAAAAATCTTCATTAGTATCGTGAATTCAAGATCGGATGCGATCGCACTGTTCAGGCCGCAAAATCGGCTGATAGACACGAAAACGAGATGTACATACCGTTTGTGATTATTATCTGAACAAGAGAAACAATCGATTTAACCGCGAATTGGGCGGAGACTGCAACGTCGAGTTCTGGTGGAAGAGGTTGGTTGACGAAGGATTAACCGAACGCTCAAAATCTTGGAAAAAAAGGTGGTGCGAGTGGGTGTGGCTAGTGTCGGCGGGACTTCTAAGCGAGTGGGTGTGGCGCAGTATTTGCTACCACGTGACCCTTTCATATCCGGCCTTGATAATTGCATGCTGGCCTAGAAACAAACCCCTCTGCCTTTTCTACTCGTCTACGCAGTATATAGCTCTCACTTAGAAAGCTCTTGGGCCAAGTCAGGCGTGTCCTTTTCTTGCGTCAGTTCTGTTATATTGGAATAACAGAAAATCCGGAGCGAGCCAAGCCAGAGATCTATTCTCATGGTATCGGGCTCGGAGTCATGAAGTTACTTAGTCGTACCAAATATCGACGGTGAGCGACTTCTTCTCTGTACTACTCTTCGACTTCACGTCCTTCAGGATTTTCTTACTACAAGTTCACAATGAGTGTATGATTACCTATCTTTTCGTTCCAGGTCATTTCTGACTGACGTATAATAGTTCCTCGATTCTGTCCTCTCGTCTCTCCAGACGGGTAAACCCGCCCAACTGCCACCGTCTCAGGCGCCTGCCTCGCCTGCGCCTTCCGTGCCTAAGAAAGAGGAGCGAAAACCGATCGCCGTGCGACAGGCGCCTTCCACCAGCGGTAATGTCAATGGAGGTACTAAGCGCAAAGCTGAGGATCAGCTGTCTCGGCCACCAAAACCTGAAAGCAAGGCGACGAATAGCCCCGCCCCAATGAAGTCTTCGGTTCCCACGAGACCAGCGGTATCATCTACAGCGACCAGAGTTGTGCCAAAGCCAGCCTCGACCAATATCTCCAGACAAACCCTGTCCAAGCCCACCTCCAAACCTAGTTTGTCTGCGGCCCCCAAAGTGGCCCCCTCACAGAAGGCACCCCTTGCCAAACCCACCCAGGTAGCTGCTGCCACACAGTCGAAGCCGCCACCAAAGGGATCATTTGCGGAGATCATGGCGCAGGCAAAGGCCAAGCAAGAGAAGGCGCCCGTGGGAGTGGGCCTACTACGACACAGAGCCGGCCCCAAAGAAAGACTCACCAAGGTGGAGCGGAAGCGTCGCATGATGGAACTTCAGGCCAAAGAAAAAGAAGCGCGTTTGGGAAGCAAGGCTGGATCGGGTGTTTCTACCAAGGATAGATCTGCTGTCCGACAGCGCGATTCCCAGGAGCCCACATACAGGGGCACGGCTAAACCGACGCAGAATCCCGAGCCGCCTACATACCGTGGAACTGCGGGCTTGCCGTCAAGCCGTAGCGGAAACGACCGTCGACATCAGTCTCGCAATTCCAGACAGAACGAATATCTCGGAACTGACGAGGAAGACGAGGGTGATTTCGGTGGCTATGACGATTATTATTCGGATGCATCGTCCGACATGGAGGCCGGAATAGACGATGTGGACCGCGAAGAAGCGGCTGCATTGGAATATGCCAAACGGGAGGATGAGAAAGAGCTGCGAGCAGAAATGGCGGCTAAGAAAGAGAAGTTGGAGCGCCAGCGAAAATTGGCCGCTCTTGCTTCTAGGACCAAGCGTTGAAGTTTTGGATGTTCTTATACCTTTAAAAAAAAAAACTTTCGGGTTTTTTTATTTCCTAGTACTTTCCATGATCTCTTTTGTTTTGGTTACTACATATTAACTCCGCATTATGAGCGTTCGGGGTGTCCATAGAAGGGGGGGAGGGGGGTGCCTTCGTTTTTATTTAAAGCACCGTCAATACTGAGCGCTATTTAAATACCAACTTACTTTTTTTTTTGACTATCTTTCCTGTATATTTGTAGTTCAATGCGTGCTTGAATGACATTGACTACCCGTCGACAGGACTTGGGAACTCCAAGCTTGTCTAGGCCCCACTTGAGTGACATCACCCGCACCTTGATAACTCTACAGGTTGGCATCCTTCTACTACCTCACATATCTACATATCTACATACCTACCATGGAGTCTGTTCATCATGTCTCGGTCTCATCAAAAGTGCTCTTCAGCAAGGTGCGCAAGATTGTACCGCCAATGCTTGAAAAGTTTCATAAAGGTACGTTGATCTGGAGTTATCGATACTGTGTTTTATCACGCAATGGGCATCTCCGCTGACTATTACTCTAGGGCAGCTGGGCCGTGTAGCTGTGATTGGAGGCTGCGTTGAGTAGGTTTTATGCCTGGCAACACTGGTATCATACTAACTTGGCATAAGCTACACCGGAGCTCCTTACTTTTCAGCCATGGCGTCCGCAAGACTGGGTACGTCCCCCAAACACCCCATTGCTCTTCACCAAATATATTGACTCGCGAATTGCAGGATGTGATATGGTATGTATGAAAGATGAAGTACTTTCTGCAAACGACTAACAACCACCAGAGTCACGTACTCTGCGAACGATCCGCGGCACCAGTAAGCCAACATCCGGAGCTAGATTGACACCATTCCTAACCCATAATGTGCAGGTTATCAAGGGCTACTCTCCTAACTTGATGGTGCACCCACTGCTTCCTAGCAGCGACACCGTCAAAGATCCAAATTCAATTGATGCGCCATCACTGGCGGGTCCGATCATCGGAATGCTATCTCGCCTCCATGCACTTGTAATTGGGCCAGGTCTTGGCCGCGACGGTGTGACGCTAAAGGTGGTTGCCGAAGTGATCAGAGAGGCGCGGTCACAATCGATACCATTTGTGTTGGATGCAGATGGATTGCTGATTGTAACGCAAGACCCGAGCCTAGTTAAAGGGTACAAGGAGTGCATTCTCACGCCGAATGTGGTAGAGTTTGGCCGTCTCGCCAAAGCGATGGGTATCAAGGTTGCCAGCCAAGCGGATGTTGCCAAAGCCGGAGATGGAGACATTACTAGCAAAGCATCAGACGCGTGTGAGCAACTATCTCAAGCCCTTGGCGGTGTGACGATTCTTCAAAAGGGTCCTCAAGATGTAATTTCCAATGGCGTTACCAGTATCATCTCTGATGGCAAGGGTGGCTTGAAGCGCAGCGGCGGTCAAGGAGACACTCTGACCGGATCATTGGGCACATTCCTTGCTTGGCGAGCAGCTTACCACGACAACTTGTGGGACTCTGGCGAGCAGGACAACGAGAAAGAGGCCCAGAGCAAGGAAGAAGTCCAGGCGGAGCTCGATTCCGAGAACAAGCGCATGTCCCCGACAACAACTCTGCTATTGGCAGCGTGGGCGGGAAGTAGCATTACACGAGAGTGTTCGCGACGAGCTTTTGCAGCCAAAGGGCGCAGCATGCAAGCAAGTGATCTGACCGATGAGGTTCACGGGGCCTTTTTGAGGCTAATCGGAGAGCCAGACGGATCCAAGACGCACCTTTAGGGTACCATGCAAAAGGATACTAGTCATGCATCTATGTACGAGAAATAGAGTACAGGTTTTGGTAACACCGGAGCATATCTCCATATATTTAGGCCTTCAGCTGTGTGCAAACCCACCAATGAAACATGTTTCGTCGACTTTTGTGATGGTTCGCACAAGCGGTTGTCTACAGTCATCGAAAGGAAGAGTCTCGAACTGTGCGTTTCATAGAAATCCTATTCCAATATTGCAATCTCAGCGGCACTGGCTTTGTACGCGGTGTTAAATGGTAGCTAGGTAGCATAGAACATCTTTTTTGTATAGGTTTTATCTCACCTGACTTGAAAGAAATGGCTCATAGTATGTGAGTCTCGGCTTTCATTAATTCATCGATCAGCATGGTCAACCCCCGTCTCTCGGTGCTGATGCTTCAGACTCGGGCCCCAGACCGGTCCCGAATGCCCACTATTAGATGACAAGATAATTTTACCGACCAAGTGTCATCTGACGATACTATATCATTATGCTGACTTGGATTTTCAGAATCTCTACCTAGGTACCCTTGATGGTACATAGTGTAAATAGAAAGCAAAAGCACCGTGTCACAGCCCCTGCCCTGACCTTGAGTAACTAGTGCCCGACTTGCGCTGCCTCGCTTGTTTTCGCTGGTCTTCTGTCATGTTCCTAAAACTTGCGGAAAAGAAGACCTTTTGCGTAAGTCTGACCAGGTCAAAGAGATATCAGCTCGTAATCATAAAGCTTCAAGCAGTTTAAGACCTCTACTTTGGCAAGTCAAGATCTCCGCAATTCTATACGATTGTTGACGTTGAGATCGAAATGTGGCTAGGGGATGGCCTGAGACATGCACTCGCCTCAAGACTTGCCCTCAATCGATGCTCCCAAGCCTGCACAGTCTCAGTCATGCTGCTCAAAGGCAATGTTGAGCTAATAAGCCATCGACATCACTTTGACCGATAGACATTGGTCATGTTCTGAGGTATCGTTCCAGATCTCGTATTCCCAACCCCGGCTGGTTTTGGTTCGCTGTCATATCCGATCATAGGGCACCACTGCATTACTATACATAATTACAGAAGTCAACCAGTATGATATATAATTCAACTGTTGCACAGAGTATGGATATCGTGTCCTTCGTGCACCAGCCTATACTAGGAGCCCAAATTCATGGACCACCCTACAAAGTATGGGGAACCCAGGCCGATAATGATCTTGTGATGCAACACAAGGCTGATGGGCTTCGCAGGGAACAGGGAGAAGAACATCTTCCGTAACAAAGGAGCACGCCTAGCTTAGCGATTCACATGAGCATATATACCTTCAAAAACGAGTATATAAGATGGCAAAATTCCCAGCGGAAGGTAATGCCATCAGAACACAATCCCCAGATACAAGTCACCGGATCTACCCCAAGTCTATACTCATATCCAACCATTCATCAAGATGCATTTTCCCATCATCGCCATGATTATCACCACCGCCTCCCTGGTGGCCGCCGACTCAACACCAGGGTTGTGGTCTAAGTGTGGCACCTGCAACCCTATCTCAGGCGAGAACCAGTGTGACCCGTCGACCTCGTGCATCAACACGGGTACATCCTTTCACTGCGCCTGCCGTGCTGGCTTCAAGGCGTCTGAGTATAATAACGACTTGTATCATCAGTTCCGTCTGCCGATGCCGAACTATGAGTTTCTTGTTTTCGTTCCTGAGAACACGCCTTGCAACACCCAGTGTGATGATCTGTGGGCTGCTCCTTCTGATCTTTGCAAGGAGGTCGAGCTTCAATGGCAGTGCGTGGCTTAGAATAGTGCCCCGGTGTATGAGTGAGTTTGTTGGTAGTGGGGCGAAGGAGGGAAGAGAGACTTTCAAACAATGTATGGGAGTAGTGCAATAAACGCAAACGATCGAGTTGGGTCCATAGCGTGAGATATTCTGGCATATTACAGCCGTCAATCCTTAAAAACAAAATCGGTTTAGTGAAAGAATACGAGGGATGTTAATGTAGATTAAAGAAGTAGATTGGCAAGATCTTCTTAAGCCTACGAAATCATAAGAACCGAGTCCATATTCCCAATACTCCCAAACACCCGTCGCCTTGATTCCAGCCAATTCCACATGCATCTTCAACACGCATAGAAAGCCGAATCGACAATCAAGAACAAAAAGAAATAATGAGAAATCCTCACAATTACATGTCCATATCACCGTCAACTTCGGTGAAAAGTAGACGTGTGCCATTGCCAGTGACTTGCCAGAGCTATAGAAAATGATGTTAGTGAAAAAGCATAGTAGTCTCGTCGAGTTATCACAACTTACGTTCATTTCGGCATATTCATCGATAGTCATGGTGAGGTTATCCTCAGTGAAGCCTCGGGCCAGCACTCGCTCACGAATACGCCTCATGCTCATCTCGCCTTCCTCCCCATCTCCAACAGCAGCAGCGCCACTCTCCTTCATGCTGCGGATCAAGTTGTAGATCTTGCTAGATGGAGTGTTGTCGGCACCATGCTCGCCATCATTGTACAGAGAAGCCTTACTGATCTCAATGAGACGTAGAGCCTCATCGACATCCTCGCGAACAACCTCTTCGCTGAAGCGAAGACGAGCAAGGGCCTGCGAAAGACGAACGATACCAAGCAGAGTACGGGGGCTGACATGAGAGAACTGCCTCTTCTTGGACTCATCGATCTTTTGTCTTTTGCGCATGGCCACATAAGCACCAACCATGTAGTCAGAAACGTTGGTAGGCACAATAGGGCGGAATGTGCGTGCCTTGGCAACGTACTGACGGACCTCGTGGGGAGTGAACAGCACGCCGGATTCCTCGTTCTCCGGGTGTTTGTTGTGCATGTGGACGTAGGTGACGTGGTGGGCCAGCTCCTCGTCGCCCTCGCGGGATGGGGTATCCAGAAGCAGGAACATGACATCGAAACGAGAGAGCAAAGCAGCGGGCAGGTTGATGTTCTCCACGGGTGACACCCGGGGGTTGTAGCGACCGTATAGCGGGTTGGCCGCTGCCAGGATGGAAGTACGGGCATTGAGCGTAGTTGTAATACCAGCCTTGGAAATGGAGATAGTCTGCTGTTCCATAACTTCGTGAATAGCTGTCCGGTCCGAGTCCTCCATCTTGTCGAACTCATCAATACAGCAGATGCCGTTGTCTGCAAGAACAAGGGCACCTCCCTCCAGCACCATCTCATCTGTGACGGGATCTCTCATCACTGCAGCGGTGAGACCGACACCACTGCTTCCTCGCCCGGTAGTGTACACGCCACGAGGAGCAACCTTGGTAATGTATCGAAGAAGCTGGGACTTGGCCACACCAGGGTCACCCATCAAGCAGATGTTGATGTCTCCACGAATGTGCATGCCGTCACCCATCTCTTTTGTGACACCACCAATCAGAAGCAACAGCAATGCCTTCTTGACATCAAGGTGTCCGTAGATTTCAGGTGCAATCGACCGTGAAAGGTACTCATACATGTTACCAGAGCGCTGGTGTTGTTCGATCTTGCGCAGAGTACGGCTGTCCATGCCCATCTCATTATATGACTTTTTGTGCTGAGTGATGTGCTGGGCCTCCAGGTATGTGTCAGTCAACAGGCCAGCGCGAATGGCGCGGAAACCAGTGTAGGGAGTGGGCAAAAAGATGCCCGCCACGTCGATCACGTCACCGGGGTTGAGTTGGCGAGTTAGAGCGCCGTGGCAGTGAACAGTCAAAGTGCGAGGAATATGGCCCACTGGGACCTGGTCGGCCATTTCTTGGATTTTCACTTCTTGGAAGGGAACAAACTTCGATGCACGAGTTGACAGGAAGAGCTGACCCTTCGAGTTGTTTTTCTTGCATTCCTCTGACAGGCACTCGCTCAAGGGGAGGAATTGCTTTGTGGTGATGGGCTGGAACACTTCACAACCACAGCGATCGCAAGTGTAGGCGTTAATCTGCACAGCCGGCTTGACATCTGAAACACGGGTGGTGATACCGCGAACTGTAATCAAGGTACCCAGGTGCTCACCGCGCACATAACGGACGGCGAGGGCCTTGGAATCGCGCTCGGCGCTGGACCCCGAAGGTGTGAGGGGTTTGAAGTTGAGTGTATATCTACGGGTGAGTTCTGGAGGGAACATCGATGGGGCGGTCGCAGCAGCTTCCATGTCAGCCTCCATTGCAGTTTCCATGGTCTCATTTCGCTTCTCGCGCTGAGACATGATAACATCAAGCACATCATCTTTGAATCTGCGCGATAATCAGTTTAGCAGCCATTGTATTCGCATAGAAACAAATTCAACATACGTGACATCCTTTGTCTCCCTAGGCATAACCTCATCGACTGCTTGAGAGATAACATCGATGTAGCGTTTTGTGTTCTTTTGGATAGATTCGACAAGCTTCAGGTCTTCTCCCTCGGGCATGGATTTCTCGAACTATTACCACCATTGTGAGCTAGATATCAGCGAGGAAGACTGATATTCGATACTTACAATTGAGAGGTCATCCAGCTCAATCAAAATATTAGATTTATCCCGGTTTGCGATATCCTGCAGAATTTGCATGTACTTGAGCTTCGGCTCCCGGTGCCTCCTTGCTCCACGGGTGTTTGCTCCAGTCGTTTCGTCGACATCATCCATGAAATCATATTCATCGCTTGTCTGGCCGTCATCGATGTTCAGATCCTCCAACGCCTCGGTTGCAGCGGCTTCCGAGGAGGATTGGAAGGTTTTGAATCCCTTCAAGAAATCCTTGAACCCATTCAGTTGCGCGGAATAGTCCACAGGTGGGGGGTATTGAAGAAGAGACATAATCACAAAATGCGCTCAATTCAAAGCGCAAAGAATCAATAGTGGGATCGGGAGAGAAATAGAGAAGAGGGTCCAGTGGCTATCCGAGCCTCTACCAAATTCGCCGGTAAAACGCGAACGCGAGGTCAACACGCGCCCACAAATGCCACTAACCTGATTAGGAAAGGTATCAATTATCACGGATGATCAGTTAATCCGGTTATCGAGGCACGTGTCACATGACTCGTCATCGGGCCGAGGCGAAAGAGAGATGTAGTGCGGAGTCCGGGGTCGTGTGTCTCTCCGAATTCACGGTTCCCCTCCTCCTTGCCTTTTCGGTGTTCACGATCGCTCAGTGCTTCAAAATGGCCCCCAAGAAGCCTGCTGCGACAGCGGAAGTCGCCCTCATTCCTCTGAAGAACTGTCTTGTTAATCTACCGCCGTCGCTGGTCGCTCTGCTGGTCAATGCAAACACGGTCAGTCTACTAATCACTATATTCCGGTGAACTATATCCAGCTAACGTCTAGCTATCCCAGACCGCTCAAAACGTCATTATCGAATTACAATATAAATCGACCTCCGGAAAGGCCAATGGAGCTTCTCCGCAGCAGTCATGCTTCCTCGGTTGGACGGGTATGCCGAGCAAGCGCAGGCTTGCGCCTGTCGTTGGAAGAGATGGCATCAACAGTGGGTACTCCAGGGAACAGGAAACCTCCACCGTTGAGCTTGATACTACTTTTGGGAGGCTCCTTGGTCTTACAGAAGGCCAGAAGGTATACAACACTTCCTATGCGCCATTACCCACGTGGGGTGCTAACACCTGCAGGTCGGATTGTTCATCCACCTCGATCCACCCGTTGCACATACGATAAACATTGAGCCGTTGACACCAGAAGACTGGGAGAGTAGGTTCAAATCACATACAACTACAATTAGACTGGTACTAACTAGACACTAGTCATTGAACTCCACGCCACGTTCCTGGAACTGAACCTCTTGTCACAAATTCGCGCTCTACCCAATCCTACATACAATACAACGCAATCGGTGCATATGCACCCACTTGCATTGCATCTCTCTCCAACATCTACCGCCAATATTATCGTCACTTCTCTTACACCCGCTCCCTCAGACGCCTCTCCCTTCGCTAAGATCGCGCCGGATGCAGAAGTCATAGTGGCCCCAAAAGTTCGATCCAAGACAAGCAAGAGCTCCCGAGCGGACAGCCGCAGTGCAGCCGGTAGCAGTAGAAAGAGTGTTGGGGGTAGGAGTGCTTCAAGCACTGTACGCCAGAAGACTGGTCGGTCCGACTCCAGCACACGAGGCTCTCTCTACTTGAGAGGCGTGGACCGGTCAGCGACCACTCAATATTTTGATGAGGAAATAGAAGATGATGCAAATGAAGGCCTTCGTGTTTGGGTTGATCAGGACTTGCTGGCTAGCCACGAGCTACGCGGAGCGACTTGGGCATGCGTGTCAGTGGTCCATCCATCTGGTCTCAAACCCCCACCAGATCCCCAACAACAACTTGCTCAAGCTGAACAGCAAAAGTCAAGTGATGCTGGTGCCACTACGACCAAACTCGTGGCTAAGTTACTTCCGTGGGAGGAGGCTCCGGACAATCGGCATGCGGCGATGTCCACCTTGTTGTGTAGGGCCCTTGGTGCAGAGAACATGGTTGGAGGAATCCTCCGCGTCGAAGCAGCACCCCCACAGTTGCATCGCTCCGCAGTCAAGACCCTTAAAATCTACCCTTTCATAGGCGATGCTTCAAAGAAGAAGGACGGACTGAAGTTCGGCGCTGACACAACAGCATCCCGGGATGCCCTGGCTGAGCGCCTCAAAGTCATCTACGGCAGCACTGGGTCTGACACAGGACTGTTCTCTGGGCCTTTGACAGATGGAATGACTATACCCAAGTCTGAGTATCATCCTTCAGTCTCTCCATTCGATGGTGCTATTCTTCGCTTCGATCCCCCGTTGAAGGGGCCATCAGATGAAACAAAGTCAATGTTTGGGTGGCTTCTGGGATCAGAAGCTAAGCTCAATCTAGAGGTCCAAGCCGAAATTCCCAAACCATTGGACCTTAATCCATCGCTCTTACCCATGGAAGACTCTCTCCCAGAACCTGCTCCTCAATTGGTAGGGATTGATTCTATAATTGAACAGTCATTGAATAACCTCACAAAATCCTCGTCCATCCTGCTTACCGGTGGACTTGGTGCTGGCAAAACGGCTCTTGCCCAGCTACTGGCCCATCGCCTAAGACGAGATCACCTCTTCAACATTAAGTATTTCTCCTGTCGCAAGCTCGTCACAGATGAAACACGCATTTCCAACATCAAAGAGACCCTGAACCGGCTCTTCATGTCCGCATCATGGTGTGCGCGTCTTGGTGGCCAGTCAGTCGTGATTCTCGAGGATCTGGACAAACTTTGCCCAGCGGAGACTGAATTGCAAGTAGGCGGAGATAATGGACGCAGTCGCCAGAATAGCGAGGTCATTTGCTCTATGGTTCGAGAATACTGCGCGCTGAATTCCTCTGTTGTGCTGCTGGCCACTGCCCAGGCTAAGGAGTCTCTCAATAATGTTATCATCGGTGGTCACGTTGTCCGTGAGATTATCAATATGAGAGCTCCTGACAAGGAAGGGCGCCGAAGGGTTTTAGAAAAACTTACTAGCGAAGATAAGCCCACAGAAAGCTCAAACGGGCATGTGAGGGCCACGAGCTCCTCAACACAGGATTCATGGTTGGATCCTTCAAACCCGGGGAGCCGACCAAGCTCTTCTGGGGGTGATGGCTTTGTCATTGGAAGGGATGTCGAGTATCTGGAGCTGGCTGGAAAAACCGATGGGTACATGCCTGGTGATCTTGTGCTACTTGTCGCCCGTGCGCGCAATGAGGCCCTCATTCGCTCTTGCTCAGATCTGACAGCAACATCAAAGATGATCACTCTCGGACGAGAGGACTTTGAGAGTGCCTTGAAGGACTTTACTCCGGCTTCTCTTCGCAACGTCACTCTTACCTCGTCAACGACCACGTTTTCTTCTGTTGGTGGTTTGTTCGAAACTCGCAAAATGCTGTTGGAAACCTTGCAATATCCTACAAAATATGCCCCGATCTTCGCACAGTGCCCATTGCGACTGCGGTCTGGTTTGCTTCTTTATGGATTTCCTGGATGCGGTAAAACAATGCTGGCCAGCGCAGTGGCTGGCGAGTGTGGCCTGAACTTCATCAGTGTTAAGGGTCCCGAGATTTTGAACAAATATATCGGAGCAAGTGAAAAAAGTGTTCGTGATTTGTTCGAGAGAGCCCAAGCTGCTCGCCCTTGCGTCCTCTTCTTCGATGAGTTCGACAGTATCGCGCCCAAGCGTGGTCACGACTCCACTGGTGTCACGGACCGTGTTGTCAACCAGCTGTTGACACAGATGGACGGCGCAGAAGGCCTTTCGGGCGTTTATGTGCTGGCAGCTACATCACGGCCAGACCTGATAGATCCTGCCCTCCTTCGCCCTGGTCGTCTCGATAAGTCCTTGCTTTGTGGCATGCCAAATCACGCAGATCGTGTTGATATCATCCGCTCAGTGAGCGAAAAGCTCAAGATGAGTGACGAAGTCATCTCTCGCTTTGGTGATATTGCCACCCAGACGGACGGATTCTCTGGCGCAGATCTGCAGGCTGTCGTATACAACGCCCATCTAGAGGCAGTCCACAGCGCGCTGGGTGATCATTCTACCGATACAGCCAAGCCCGGTGCCAAGTCCAACAATGCCAGTGCTTCTAGCAAATCCTTCATTCAATTCCTCTACTCTTCTTCGGAGGAAGCATCGGGATCTGTCTCCATGCCAGCCCCGGCAGTGATCGCAGCCAAATTGGAGGCAATTAAGAACTCGCGTCGCCGCCAGCGCCAGCTCGAGCAGGGACCTTCCGGTACGAACAACACCGCGGCCCCGTTGACTAATGGCACTGCGCCTGATGCAGATGAGCTGCGTGAGGAAATCGTCGTCCGCTGGGAGCATGTTGAGCGCTCATTGGCTACCACACGTGGCTCTCTTCCCCCTGCAGAGCGCAGACGTCTCGAGGGAATTTACCGTGAATTTATCGCTGGCCGAAATGGCGAGATGCCCAATGGCGAGGCTGCCAATGAGATTGGAGGCCGAACAAGTCTGATGTGATGCATATTATGACTTGGATTATGTACACTGTATATATGGGTAGCTTTGTATGCGCGATTCATTCTTTGCCCTCTATTCCTGTATTTATCAATATTGGTAGATGAACATTATATTATAAATTTGAATGTTGTCACATGAGATGTGAGATGAGAAAAGGAGCAAGCTCATCCAGCCAATCTTGTCTATCTCTGGAGGCCTTGTAGATCGGTTCGTTTTTCAACATAGCGAAGGTATACCTGATGCTTCAGGGGAGTTTGAGTATATTAAAGAACCCCACAAATGTACATCTGCTGAAGAAATTAGGGCTTCGCTCGCACGTGAACATAACACATGTAGAGACAGGAAATGCACTTGTCGGGGGGCGGTAGCAATGCCTTCTGCCAAGCAAGTGGTGCAAGTGTTAGATATGCTCCTCCAAGCTATCGGAGGCGATCGCGATGTCGTCGATATAAGCCCGACAAAAGCTTCGCAGGCCCCGTAGATATTATCTAGCTCGCGTTGGGCGTATATTACATAGTTGCAGTGGCCCATCATTGCGAGTTTGAGGACCTCGTGTCCTCAATGAGTGATAACTCCTAGCTTGCCGACATCGTCTGCCTGGATGTACCCTCCATTGATAGGACCATGCGGCTGCATCAAGAAATGGAATGTATTTTCTCTCTTTGCAAAGCTGGAGGATGTCCACTTGTGTCGGGACTAGGTACATATCTTTTTTAAGTGCTTCCATGCTGGCATCTCTGAGATCCACCACTGGTCTGCCCACACATTTTTCCTGGCCGTCCTTTATGACGTACTTGTACGACACGAAGACTGGGTGACCAGTTGGAGTGTGCTTGGTGGCAGAGCCCATCTCCCGTCGGCATGGAGGCCACCGAAGACTTTGCTGATCAAGGTCCTCTCTTCTGCGCCGGTCGGGTAAATATGTTTCAATTATTCGTTCCCAGGTAGCGTATGAAGGCTTGCAATCTCGGAGTGTGACATCGCAAGGTGAAGAGGCGACCTTGGTCTTCCATAATCAGAGACTGAAAAATAGATGGGAGGGGTTAGACTTACGATTCTGCGTGCAGCTCCTATGAAGACCAATCCAGGACCTGGAGTTTATATAAAACCACCCCCACTATACATCAATGAATTAACTGTTCAAGTCGGGCTATATGTGGAAGAGATGGACATACCACTTGACGAGCTCGTACCCGGTGATTCGGGGAGCAGAACTTAGAGCATTCATACCTTTATGTCCAAAGGTTAGCGTTCATGATTGGAGGTCAAATCAGAGAGAGATAAGCCTCACCAATGGGCAGCCAGCCCCTCGAGAATCAACCCCCACACTACAGAAACCCCCATTACCATGCCCACCAAAAGCACCAGCAGAAAGCTCCCCCAGACAAAGTCTGAGGTCACTCATTGGCTAGCTGCTGAGCTCTGGCTACGGCAAAGGCACCAGCATAAGCGGCACCCAGGGACCCTATCAGAATCAAAAGTCAGCTGAGTCCAACCCAAACAAAGTAGAAGAAATCATTTTAGATAGCACATGTGAAATTAAGTCAAAGTGAGAACAAGCCAAGAACAAACTGAAGTGAAGATAAAAAAAGGATACAAGGAGGAAGAATGAAATGGAAGTGACTTACCAACGCCGTCGGCGCGACAGAGGAGGCGCATCGCCACGGATCAAGACTGGGGCGGGGGTGTTCTTGCCCCGGCGCTCCGCAATCGAGCCCATGAGCGCGCGAGCCTCCTGTCGCTGGCGATGGGCTTCATACCCTGGGATCTGCTGATAACCAGGGGGAATCACCGGAATCCTAATGGCGGCAATCCGGGGGGGACGCAGCCTGACGGCTGGCCCCATAGTGGGGGGAGCTACTGGTCTCGGGGGTGGCACGAACCTCATCAGTGGAGTGACGGGTTGGAGGTCCATTCTCGAGGGACCAGCTAGAAAGGGCAGCCATTTCGAAGGCATTCATTGTGGCGGTTGTTCGCGGTGTCGAATTGCCTTTGTCGGCAATGAAAAACGAAGGCGAACGTGGGGGAAAAGAGAAAAGAGAGAGAAGAAATTCGAAAAGGGTGGGAGTTTGTTATATGGCCCCCAGCCAGTCTGAAGAGGAAGGGTCGACCGGCCAGGTGAAGTGGCTGTACAAGCATCAACTTCAGATCGTTCCTGCCATCTCGAGCATGAGTGGCGAGAGGCCAACTGGGCACTACTTTTGGTTATATAAGGGGGTCGATCTATTCCAGTAAGCCTAGCCATGTAGTAGTATGTAAATTTGAGTAAAATAAACAATGGACCCAGTATTTCACTCTTTCTCTAGAGCTTTGTTGACAAGGTGTTCAAGCTTGTTCCACTCAGCGGACAGAACAGCCTTGTTCTTGCTAGGATCAAGGCCATTGGCCTTGAATTCATTGTGGACCTGTACAAATTGATTTCCAACAAGCTTCTTAAAGCTGGGCACGGTGCAGCTCTCCAATTGTGTGCTAGTAAGTTCAGCAAGAATGTACCAAATCAAGTAGTGATAGTTCAACTTGAAGTCATGAAGCTGAACAGGGTCTTTTTGGTCAGGCTGGAAGCCCTCTTGGGAAATGAAGACTGTAAGCCTGACTAGGCTCCATGCGTGGATGTGTCGGATGGGGTGGGCCTTGCCATAGACAACAGGATCGATTCGCAGGTATCGAATGGCAGCGTGGATGAATGCCCGGGTGAAGTTGCCAGCCGTCAACAGAGATATAATCAGCTTATCGCGGAGAGAAGCATACGGCTGACGGGTGAGAGGCCATAGGGCAGTTTCACGAAGTTTGTGCATAGCAGCTTCCAGCTTTTCGATTGCGTCAGCTGGTTCCGTGCTGGTTGCGGTTGCTTTCTGCATGAGCTCCAGGGCTTCACGCTCTGCTGTCTCTAGAGGGGCCATGTCTTCAGGTGTAGACAAGAACCGGTCTTCAATAGTGTCCGCCCCCTTTTGGCACTTTGTGCACTGGCAGTCAAAGAAATAGCGTTCTTTCAGTTCGTTGCGACGGATATCGTATGGTGTCGTGGTGTCGATATAGGAGATGAAGATTTGCTCGCCCTTTTTGATGGGACACATAGCCTTGACGTACAGTTCTTCGCCGTCAAATCCAACTGTGGAGTTGTAGTCACAGCTGTGGTTAATCAACCCGGCATATGGATGCATGTAGAGGCCAATGCGGTCATACATAGAGGTTGTGAGGTTGAAGGAGTTCAGATCCAACTAAAAATGATAGTTAGATGAAAGGCTTGCGAGGCAAGAGGTTTCAAGCTGGAATTAGTTACCTTCGCAGCATAAGTAGAGACAGTTCCTTCATCGACGTCCGTGCCTGAGTAATTCTTGACAGCTTTTGCTGTCAAGTTAATCCTATCGAGTTGGCCTTGGCTCTCCGAAATCTCATTGATGTGAGTTTCCAAGCCATCAAAGACCTTGGACTCTTCCGAATCGTACTTGTTACGCGCAGTGCGCAGCACTATGCGTAAGAGAGCACGGGCATTATTGGGAAGCACCATAGGTTTGACATTTTTGAAGATAGGGCATTCAAGAGAATGCGCAAACTTCCAGTCCTTAGATTGACACGCCTAGTCATCAAGTATTAGAATCTAAATCAAATGGGGAATATTCTTGGGTCGGACGGGAAATATGAGACATCAAACGATTTATCGTCATAGCAACTCACTCGGTCACAATACTTCACAACACGGCATCCTGTGCAAGCCTTCAACTCATTACCAGTTTCCATCTGTCTCTTTCCGAAGCAACCGGCACATGTGTCCTCTAAACGTGGAGAATCGAGAACTGCCACAAATGGTGTTTTGATGTGTAAAACATCCTCACCGGGGTTAATATCGGTTGTCGCAAATAGGCCATTGCCCATTCCATTGGGGGCAGGCTGTGGGACGGTCCTAGTCGTCACCGAAGGCAGTACAGTTCTCGATGCCATTGTGTTTGATCTGATCATAAAAATAAGAATCGTTGGCAGATATACGATCAGAGTGGATAGTCATCCCGTGGGGCGGTGAATATTCGTCATGTATTTGAATCTCTTGGCAATGATAGAAGGAGATTGATAGAATCTCTCACACAGAGAGAGCAATCTGATGAGAATATTCTGAATTTTCCCTGGTGGCTGAGCTACTGATTCAAAGCTATTTGCAAAGACTTTTGTCATTGTCACCTTGGTGACCAGGATCCTACCTTGTACAAGCTATGCCTAGAGATGAGCACACACACACACACACACATACAGAGAGAAAGAGAGAGTGTGTGTGTTGGTTTGACTACCTACCAGAGCTGGAAACCAATTTTATTTATACCTCTAAGTGAAATAGTAACACTTGGATGATAGCAATTAAAAAAATACTGAATAGATGTCGAAGACTTACTAACCCTTCCAAGAAATGTATGTAGCTCGAAAGAAACTAGATTCGACTCAGGATTCGGGTATATAGTTAAGTAGACATATAGCATAGCTCATTCAAGTATATAGACCTAGTGACTCAATCCCCAATCAACTAACCACCAGGCATAAAACCAAACCCAAGTCCTAGATCATAGCCGCAAAGGCCGCAAAGGCCGCAAGAGCAGCAGCACCCAATGACACAGCAGTAATCAAAGGCTTTGCAGCACCAGCGGTAGCACCATAGCTCGAAAGTTGAGGAAATTTGAATTATATCTAAGACGTACTGAAGTATCTTTTGTATGGATGACTCATACAAAAGATACCTAATTTCTAAATTTTTGATCTTGTGGGTAATTTGAATCTTCTGGGACGCACCAACTCAGGGTGGTGTGTTGGGCGCTTGGCACGATTATGGAGTACGACGAGATCATTCGTATATCGGGGGCGTATAAGCGCTACGCCACTGTGTCCTTGATTCCAAGTAGAATAGAGAGTAGAGATGGGGAACAATTCAATGATTCATAAGGAAAAGACAACATTCCAATCCGAGAGTACAGTAATTAAAAAGGCCGAAAAGACAATGCACGCCATCTATCAACAAAATTGTCCTACCCACTACACCAAACAGAAAGTTTAGATCCTGTCCTTGGAAAATCATGACGGGACGACCGGGGGAGGTCATAGGGGATATCGAGCGGAAGGAGATGTTGACTTCCTGTCCCTCATTACCTCGACATGGTGGGGGCTTTTTTTTTTCTCTTCGTCTGTCATTTTGTGCAAAAAGAATTAAAGATTTACAGCGCCTTGCCGCCGACGAAGTTGGACCAAGTGCGGACCTCGGAGGGGATTTCCTCGGTGCGGGGGAGCTTCTCGTTCATGCACTGAGCGAAGAGCTGGGCAGTCTGTAGAGAAGACAAGTTAGTAAGTTGTATCATTATAGGTACCAGAACACTGAACATACCTTAGCTTCCATGAAGAGAGGCACGTTGAAATCGACAGCGTTGCGACGCATAACATAGTCGTCATCAAGCTGGGTCTTGCCGCGGGTCTTGGCAAGGTTGAAGCAGCCACGGATGTCGTACTTCTGGAACACCTCACGGAGGGCACGCTTGTCCTTCTTGGGGAACTCAATCACCTGTACGGAGACGCCCTTGGCGGACTCGAGGTGAGCCTTGACCTCGGAGTTGACGGCGAAGAACTTGTAGCCAAGAGGGTTCAGGTACTCGACAATCTTGGCAAGGTAGGGCTGGGTGATATCACCGCCGAGCAAGATACCCTCACCGGGCTCAGGCATGCGGAAGTTCATAGTGGACTGGAGAGAAGCCCAGTAGGCCTCGACCAGATCCTTACCGAAGCAAGCAATCTCACCGGTGGAGGACATCTCGACGCCCAGGAAGGGGTCAGCACCAGCCAGACGGGTCCAGGAGAACTGGGGGACCTTGGTGGCGAGGTAGTCGCGCTTCACCTTCATGAGGTCGACGGGTTCGGGGACATCACGGCCGACGAGAGCCTTGGTGGCGACGTCGATGAAGTTGGTACCCAGAACCTTGCTGACGAAGGGGGAAGGAGCGCGAAGCGCGCAGGTTGCACTCAATGACCTTGAGTGCGGGCTCGGCGCCCTCCTGGTTGGCCTTGATGATCTGCATGTTGAAGGGACCAGTAATGTTCCAGGCCTTAGCAACCTTCTCGGCGATCTCCTTGACGCGGGCCATGATAGGCTCCTCGATGTTGGCGGGGGGGGAGGACGAGAGTGGCATCACCGGAGTGAACACCAGCGGGCTCGACGTGCTCGGAAACGGCATGGACAAGCAGCTTACCGTTAGAAGCGACAGCATCCACGTCGATCTCCTCGGCACCCTCGATGAACTTGGTGATGACGACGGGGTGGTCAGGAGAAACGGCGGCGGCGTTAAGGAGCTTCTCCTTAAGCTCATCAACACTGTAGATGACGTTCATGGCGGCACCAGACAGGACGTAACTGGGACGAACCAGGACGGGGTAGCCAACAGTGTCAGCGAAGCTCTCGGCAGCAGCGACAGAGGTCAGTTCCTTCCAGGCGGGCTGGTCGACACCAATGCTGTCGAGGATAGAAGAGAACTTGTGACGGTCCTCGGCCTTGTCAATGTCCAGAGGGTTGGTACCCAGAATAGTAGCACCACCGCTCTCTTGCAGACGCAGAGCAATGTTCTGAGGCAGCTGACCACCGACAGAGACAACGACGCCGCTAGCGGCCTCGAGCTCATAAATATCCATGACACGCTCGTAGCTAAGCTCCTCGAAGTACAGCTTGTCAGCGGTATCGAAGTCAGTGGAGTAGGTCTCGGGGTTATAGTTAATCATAACGGTCTTCTTGCCCATATTGCGGAGGGAGAGAGTGGCATTAACAGCGCACCAATCGAACTCAACGGAGCTACCAATACGGTACACACCGCTGCCAAGAATGATAGTTCCATGATCATCGAAGGTAACATCGTGGGAAGAAGCGTTATAGGTGGTGTAGAGGTAGTTGGTGTCGGCCGGGAACTCGGCAGCAAGGGTATCGATTTTTTTAACCCAGGGGGTGATACCGAAAGACTTACGGCGAGCACGGACATCATCCTCGGTGGATCCAACAAGGAGAGAGATCTGCTTATCGGAGAAACCAAGCTTCTTAGCCTTCAACAGGATCTCCTGCTTAAGGCCGAAGAGGCTGCCAATCTCCTTAAGCTCGTTGTTGCAATCCACAATGTTTTGGATCTTGTACAAGAACCACTTGTCAATCTTTGTCAGCTCGTGGACCTTGTCGACCGAGTAGTTCTCGTGAAGCATAGCCTGGCCAACGGCCAACCAGCGGCGATCAGTAGGGTTACGGAGAGTCTCGTCAAGGTCATCGAACTTATCACCCTGAAGACCAAGGTATCGAGGGTCAACCTGACGGATGGCCTTCTGCAGGGACTCCTCCCAGGTACGACCAATGGCCATAACCTCACCAACCGACTTCATGGCGGAGCCAATGTCGCGGTTGACGTGCTGGAACTTGGCCAAATCCCAGCGGGGAATCTTAGTGACAACGTAGTCAAGACTGGGCTCGAAGTTGGCGGTGGTGGTCTTAGTGACGGCGTTGGGAAGCTCGGGAAGAGTGTGTCCCAGACCAATCTTGGCAGCGGTGTAAGCAAGGGGATAACCGGTGGCCTTGGAGGCCAGAGCAGAAGAACGCGAAAGACGAGCGTTCACCTCAATGACACGGTAGTCGAGGCCATCGGGCTGCAGAGCGTACTGGACATTGCACTCGCCAACGACGCCCAAGTGACGGACAATCTTGATAGCAGCAGTGCGGAGCATGTGGTACTCCTCATCAGATAGAGTCTGACTAGGGGCAACAACGATACTGTCACCGGTGTGAATTCCAAGAGGGTCAAAGTTCTCCATGTTGCAAACGGTAATACAGTTGTTATCAGCGTCACGGACAACCTCGTACTCAACCTCCTTCCAGCCCTTGAGGGACTTCTCGACCAAAATCTGGGGGGAGAGAGACAGAGAGCGCGAGGACAAGTCACGGAGCTCCTCGGCGTTGGAAGCGAAGCCAGAACCCAGACCACCGAGGGCGTAAGCAGACCGGACGATGATGGGGTATCCAACCTCCTCGGCAGCCTTAAGAGCGTCCTCGACAGTCTCAACGGCGGTCGATTCGGCAATAGGAATATCAATCTCGTTCAAGGCCTGGGCGAAGAGGTCACGGTCCTCACTGGTCTCCAGGGTCTTGATGGGGGTACCAAGAACCTTGACACCGTAGCGTTCAAAGGTGCCCATGCGGTTCATCTGCACACCCAGGTTCAGGGCGGTCTGGCCACCGAAGGTAAGGAGAATACCATCGGGGCGCTCGCGCTCGATGACGTGGGTAACATATTCAGGGGTGACAGGGAGGTAGTAGACTTCGTCCGCAAGCTTGTGGTCGGTCTGGATGGTCGCAATGTTGGGGTTGATCAGGATTGAGTGGACGCCGGCTTCCTTGAGAGCCTTAAGGGCTTGGGAGCCTGTTTGATCCAACAGTTGAAAGATTAGTGACGGTTGCTATTTCATTTGATATTTAGGGGTCATTTTTAAGCTCTGTGTATTCCCCGCATAGAAGACCCCTGTGCAGACCCCCATGAGGGACTCACGGAGCATTCTAATCGGTCGAGAGGTCCAGCTCCAAGTGGTTGCAACTTACCGGAGTAATCAAATTCTCCAGCCTGGCCAATGCTCAGACCACCACTACCAATGACAAGGACCTTCTTGACATCGATGAGCTTGCTACCGGTCGCCACGGCACCGCTGGCAAGGTAAGACTCAGCACTTGGGGGCTTTTCAGCGGCCAGGCGGTTCAAGGTGCTGGAGAAAGAACGGAGCTGCTGAGAGCGAGCCGTTGGGATCTTCTGCAGGCGCAGAGCCGAGACCGATGAACGGACGGACTGAGATGAGAATGCGCGCAGAGAGAGTGCTGGTCGGGTTTCAGCGATGCAGCGCTGGCGCAGCAGGGCAGTTGCCTGCCCACATCGAGCAGCAAGAACCATCGCGCACCAAAGGTAATGTTTCAATTGCTGAGAGATGTGTTGAGGATGAGTCTACGCTTTGCTGGGATTCTTTTTTTTCCGCCACGCCGTCGCTAATTGGCTCGCTCCCTTCACCGTATACGGCTCCACTTTTGAACGAGAGAAAGCCGGGGGATAATTCAAGGGATAAGTGGAATTATATAGATCTGGAGGATCTAATAATTAATGTTAATAAGTTTATATTAAAAAGATGGTTGGTTTATATATTTCTTTCCTTCTTCCCCCTTTTTAAATTTTTTTTTTTGTATTTTGTTGGCAGCGATGAGTCAAATTTTGAATGTGGAGACGGGGTTCGCTCGGCAAATATCTTTTCTTATATCTTATATTTACTACCTACATAGGGATACAGAACCTATTAATTATCACTGCCCCTATCTACATTGTCACCCATATGAAAGTTATAGAGTGTGTCGCAAGAAATTGGGATCCAGCAAGAACATCTTATATCACTGATCTGTCTGGTACATGCCGATGCCGGAGCTAACCCTATCTCTTATCTCTCCACTTCAACACCTACAACCTTGGAACATTCCAACTACTCCGTACTCTGTAGTATTCCGCCACATCGCGAAAATTGGTATGATAATATCTCGTTGTTAAGCATCAGAATGGTTGGAAGCCAACCGTATGAAAGGATGGACTAGATGCATAAATAGGGATGAATCAGAGTTAAATCTTGGAAGGTAGTCAAGCGAGTGACGTAATCGGCCTGGGGATGTAAAGGGAATACGGAGTAGGTATTGATGTGTTATGCTTATAAGATGACGTGCAGTGTCAGTCTATCTGTATGTCGGAGATGTGGAGTTTGGGTGATAGAGGGAGCAGGTTGATGTTGCAGTTGCTTCTAGGTTCAGCTGGTTGGAGTTAAGGATCACCGTCGGAAGAAAGATTGGTCGGCAAAACAAGAAACAGGTAGATGACTGAATTCATAAATTATTAGGGGTCTTAGTGCTAGTCTGCATGTTGTTTGATGAGCGAAATACCGAGTTCCAATAACTAATGTTTCGGCCTATGGATCAGGCTAGTTCTTTCAATCACACGTTATGTCTAAATCCACTCCTTCGGGCCTCCATAACCCTCCTATGGCAAAGATTGTATAAAAGCTCGCTGACCACAACACAACATGCATGGTATGGCCCAAAGCCAAGTAGTACAACATATGTAGGAAGTTTACCATGGATTACATTTAGATATTAAGCAGAAACATCTTCTGCTTCTTTTGTGCTCACACCTTTCAAAATGCAGCATACAAAAGGACTGTCAGTGGGTGAAGTGTGGAATCCTCAAAAGCGAAGTATGTTGCACCTTTCTGACCACATGTCTTATATACACTCGGCATTAAGCCCTGGCCCCTGGAACCTTGGAAAGAAAAAAAATAGCCACACCCATGGATTAGCTCCAAGGTTAGGTGGATCCCTATAAACATATATTAACCAATTACAATATTCTTCACCTCCCCCTTTTTACTTCCGTACCCAATCAGCATACGGAGTGCGGAGGAGACAGATACATGTTTCCCTTCTCACACCCTATGGCTGTTCTCGATGCAACTATGGAGCAGCTTAGGACCTTTATATAATTGAATTGGAGCACCTGAAAATACCTCATCTAAAGTGGCCCCTACCCAATGGATTGATCGCTATTCTGAGTGAGGCATGGTTCCTAGTTGCTCTTTAGATATATATATGTGATCAACTCAAATTCAAACACTTGTTGCCTTTTATGTCAAGACTATATTAGGCCGTATACGCCTATAGTAAACAGAAAAGTTGAATGGTCATCTATGTTTGGTAGAAACTCCGGTGTGCAGTTGCCCCAACGTTGGGATATATATTTAGCTGGCGCGGCCACATCCAATCGACATACAGAAAATAAGAGGCGAGGTCACTGAAAATAATAAGCGTTATACACAATGACAACCTACAGGCCAATTGTCCCACTCAGATTGAAGCGCAATATGCAGTGAATTCGATACTCGAGAATCTCCGCACGGCTGGAAAGTGGAACAGACCAGACAAACCAGAGCTATAACACCAGATTATATGACGGACATAGCTGGATTGAGCAAAAAACAGGGTATTAGATATAGTGGATAGAGTATTACATTACATATGGTATAACATTGAATCATTCTACAACCCCCACTCTCCCATTCAGACCTGACCAAGGACCTCTCGGTTGTTTCTCAATCCGAGACTCACTCCTCGACATCCCCTTGGTGAAGCGATTCTCTCGACCCTCCAGCATGGTTTCATCAAAGTCCTGATTGAGGGTTCTACATACATCAGTCAGGGTCTGTCGGGCGTCCTGCGCAATCTCAGTGCCCAATGCAAGTTTTTGCTGAACGAAGTCTCGTTCGTTGGCAGCTGCAGCATCAGAGGCAAATGCCCATGCTTCGGCAAGACCAACAACCTCGTCTGGGGTTTGATCGGAGGTCTGAGCCTGGTTTCGCAAGTCGAGAGCAGCAGCCGCATGCTGAAAGCGCGGCTGGCGGGCGGGAGCGGGGTATTCAGGAAGTAGGTGGGATTCGTCGCTAAGACGATTGAGGGCGCGGAGTGTGGTGGACTTCTCTTTCGAAAGTAGACTGGACAAATAGGTTTTCTGGAGAGCCAGCGATTTTTGACTCTTACATAGCGGAACTAGGTTTTCGTTTGTGTATGACAAAACGTCGATTGGGTTGGGTGGTGGTATTTCTGCCATGACAAGTTCGTTCTTGTTGGTGGATCGAGACGGAGGTTTCGGGGTCACCGTAACTGGCTGACAAGCTCTAGAAGCGGCATCGAGGAGATCTCGTCGGGCTTGCAGATATGCGGCATATTGCTCCGTAATTTGTATCTTGCGGTTCTCTAGCCCTTGCTGGGCATCCCTGATTTCCTCTGGAGGAAGTTCCTGGAGCATACTTTCATCCATATCCCCTTGGCCAACCAGCCGTTCCTCCACCCATTGTACTAGCTCGTCCCGGGTCTTTTGTAATGCTCGTGCTTTGGCACCTGAAGTCTCGGCCTGGGGATCATGCTGTGCTTTGGCTTTCTCAAACAATTGCTTTTGGCGGCCCAATTCAGTTCTTGCGCGGACAACTGCTCTCTCGAGGTTGTGCACTAGTTCATCCAGGTCCGTCTCGGTGCCATTGCGTCCCGCCTCTGCGTCTACCTCCGGTAACAGTATTTGCTCACCGTCATTGCCGACGTCGTCCAAGCTGCCTGCATCGCGTGTTTTGATTTCCTCAAGATAGTTCTGAAATACCTGCAGCTTATTATGACGCCGTCGATCGCGCAGAAGGGCAAGGTATTCACGAAATTCGGTGCCGGGTTCTTGCAGGTCATCATCAGAAGGACGGTTCGGGAACGTCCTCTGGCGCCTTAATGAGGCGACATTCTCAGACGCCAAGGCAAAATCTTTGCGGGCCGCAACATTGGCTGCCAGTGCCTTCAGATAATCCTTTCTCAGCCCAGATATATTGGTAGGGATAGGTTTGACATTGGTAACAGCATCGGTCGTCGCACACAGGGATAGGTGGCATTGAGAAGCATCGCTTGACTGATTGTCAAATTCGATGAATGAGCGCAGATAAGACGTCAGTACCTGGCGGATATGAAGGGTTTCCTCACGCGACTTGACGTAAGGAGCGAGCTGTTTCAGAACGGGTGGAATGTGGGTAGCGTCAGGGGAGTTGGGTCGGACCATGGTTTCATTGGGCGGGGTCTCCAAGGGATTTGTAAGATAAGATATCTGGAGAGAACAAGCTGAGACCCAGACAGGTCTCGGAAGACTTCACTGCCACAACAGTGATATCCTATCGAAGTTGTTGACTAGGTGAGGTTCGTCCACTGGTTCGCGCTTATGTAACACGCAGATCATCCCGGCCCCGAAGTGGAGCTTGTTTTGCTGTACAAGTCGAGCATCTACATATGTTGATGACGTTTATTAGGTCTGATAGGATATTGAAGATGCCGATCGACTGATCGACTCTATTATTGCTCAATTTACTGGATAGCTCCAATTGAGACATCCAATATGCCCCCAACGAGGCCTAAACACCATGTTTACCCCGTACCATCTCCATCATTTGTGCAATGTAAGTAGTTAATAGAGGTACCTCTATGGATTGTGTCATAAGACAGCTAAAATAAAACATTTTATCTAGTATGTCGGCTGTCTTGTTCCGGAGAGTGTAGATATCCCTCCAACATGGAATGTCACCGGCTTATTTCTAGAGCTAGGTACATGTACATCCAGTAGATGTACAGATTACGTGCACGGCCCAATCAAAGCGACAAAGGATAAAACGTCTCACGGCTTGAGAGAAGCCCAACTTCTCAGATTTCTCTCTCGTCCTGCCTTTTCTCAATTTCTTTCCCCGTCGGAAGGAGACCTTTGATCTCCCCCTCCATAACTGGTATGTTTCAGAAGTCTCTCTGGAATTTGCATCAAGGGGTGTTTTGATTCATAATTCTAGGCCAAAATTTGACTTATCTCAAGGCTGAAACCGTTATACTTCAGTCATCTCGACTCACATGCCGACTGCGGCCGTGGAAAAACAAACTTACCATTACACAATAAACATACCTGATGGCTATGGCGCCCGATTTGAGTGCTACTTCCCACTCTAATATGTCACGACCTCGCGCGGCAACAACGGCACCTGCTATGGCATCGCAACCTCCAACACCCCGACAACCGGTACATGGTCCTCAGACATTTGCAGCACTCCCGCCCCCGGGAAGTCCACCACTCGGAACGGGGGATTATGGCATCACACGTACCGCCCAGGGTAAGTTCATAGAGGCAGGCGTCATTTCCTCGAGCTCGCCGACTAACAGAACAAGGGCCATTGCGTCATCCTCAGCCGCTGACACCTTCGGATCTCCATCTAGTGCTTGAGAAAGAGCAAGAAGCGATGGTGAGTGATATTCTATAGCCCGAAGTATACCTACCTACCCCTCAACTGCTGACGCACCAAAACTCTTTGCAGGTGAATCGATTGACCCGAGAGCTATCTATTCTCCGGCAGCAGACAGCATCTGTGGCCTCAACAGCATCCTCCACCTCGACATTCAATGAGGCAGATGGCGCACGGGCATCACCCACCCTCAGCAGCTCAACCCAGTCTCACTCTGCCCGACGGAACCGGTCTAATTCAAGCCTCAGCTCAAACCAGGGCCCACAGTCCGCAAGTGTCGCCGGAATTGCACCCTCACGAGAGATACCATATCGCCCGGCAGACCATTCACGAACGGTTCGCAGCCGCGAGCCATCCATCACATCTCGCCGACCCTCCGTCGGGTCAATATCCTCGTTCTCCTACAATAACAGCAGTGCATACCCACACCGAAATTCGGTGTCACAGACCCAGCTCGGCCATTCACCTGGAAACTCACTGTCGCGGTTTGAGGAGGCTGCACATCACAGATTGGAGGTGGAATACATGAAGCGGGAGAATGAACAGCTTAGGAGGCGCGTGCGGGATCTGGAGCAAACTTTAAAAAGGCAAAAGGAGGCCTCGACAACTGAGGCTTCTGCCACATCGTCCGAGAGCATTATTGGCACCTAGTTCAACCTCCATCCCAAGTCATATCATCCTTTCGTATTGCCACTGTGGAGGCAGTGCGGCAGTGCCCAACATTTTCACATTGGGAGGTTTGCAGGCAAACACATTCAACGAAATGCTAGTTTTGACATGTGAATTTATTTTCCAGGCAGCTCCATTGATCCAGACTAGATGAAACGGGAAAAGAAACCCAAATGAAATTAGCTACGTGAGGCGGTGCAGCCCCGCTATACGTCATACAGTCACTTGTGGCGCAGGCCCTAGACCTTCCAGATAAATAGTCGCATCACCACCTGGGCAATCGTGTGACTTTTCAATTTCTTCAATCTTTTTCTCTCTCCTACCTATCATAATCATGTCTCACGCCACTGTTCACGTTTCTGGCATCTCGCCAGCAACCTCCGAGAAGGAGGTCCGCGACTTCTTCAGCTTCTGGTACATTGTCGCAATTAGTGGTTTAATTGACAACTTACTGACTTGAACAGTGGAAAAATTGTCAGCCTCTCTATTACCCCCGTCTCTGGGGAAGCCGACGCTCAGAAGTCCGCGACTGTGACCTTTGAAAAGGAAGCGTAAGCTACCCCGCACCCAATTTATTTCCCGCAGACCACATAAGAAATCCAAACTAATCCAAACTCCCTGAAACCAGCGCTGCCAAGACCGCCCTCCTCCTAGACCAGACTCAACTAGGCACCTCTGCCGTGCATGTTGAAGCAGCTCACAACATCGAAGACATAGCCGGAGCGCAAGCCACCCGCGCAGGCAGCGAGACCAAGGAGGAAGAGCACCACATCGCACAAGAAGATAAGCCCCGATCGCGTATTGTCGCAGAGTATCTGGCTCACGGGTACGTGGTGAGTGATAATGCGATCATGAAGGCAATTCAGCTGGACCAGAAGCACGGAGTCTCCAGCCGTTTCACGTCGGCGCTCAACAACTTCGATAAGAAGTACAATGCCACAGAGCGCGCTAAGGGCATCGATGAGAACTACCAGATCTCCAATAAGGCGGCTTCCGGCTGGCGCGGTCTGAGCTCTTACTTCGAGAAGGCCCTGGAGCATCCCTCCGGCCAGAAGCTGCGTGACTTCTATGTTCAGACCGATAAGCAGGTGCGCGATATCCACGCTGAGGCTCGTCGTCTGGCGGATCTGAAGCAGGGTAAGAGTGGTGAGGCTACGCCTGTTGCTGCTGCCGAGCCTGCTACTGCCGCTGCTCCTGCTCCTGCTGCTTCTGCTCAGCCTGAGGCTGCTGCTGCGCCTTCCGAGAAGGTGTAGAACTATCGGAATGAGGTCTTAACTTCATGTGGATATGAATATTTGCGCCGGACTTGTGTGTGTCTATTGCTTTATTCTTTCCCTTATTATGATGCCATGCCATGTCCATAGTTGATTCTTCTTTTCTGTGATGACCTGATTTTCGGGCACTTTACAAGCGAACCTTTTTTTTTCATAACTATCCAATAAGCGAAGCAAATGAACACAAAGATTCAGTTTTCTCTAGAGATTTGGTGTGTTGTTTTAATAAATACAAAGCTCAAAGAAAATGGTTATCCGAGCTTATTCTTCATGATATCATTATTCAGAATTCAACAAATGGGCCTCTCCAAGTACATGCGAGAAACATTCCAGCTCAATCATGTTTTCCCTTGGCGAACTTTTCCGCCTCAATCTTCTCTAATGGGTGTTCGGGGTTGCTCTTCAACACATTGTCCCTAAAGTCTTCCGACGATTGCTGCGAATGCTCGTGGGCTGGGGGTTTGCCAACATCGGTCTTGCCAGAGCCGGGGATATCTTGCTGTTGAGCGCCGGTTTGACGCTCCGGAGAGGGAGATTGGCGGCCGGGGTAAGGAGCAGACATTTTGGATATTGTCGAATTGGATTTGATATGCTGAAGAAGAGGATAAGTGTGAGTTTCTCAATGCGAGGAAATGAATAATAAATTATGGCAAGCTCGATACTACTAACCTTCAATATGACTTTGGTGCTAGATGTAGAATGTTTGGGTTCCCAGTGTAGGAGAAGGAACAATACTCTTTTTATCCCCAGAAACCAACTGACGTTACCAGCTAAACCGGTCATTGGGGTCATCATGATGACGTGTGGAGTGGCACTTGGAACTGTCTCCAATCTACTCCTTACTTACTAGGCCTTGGATATTGTAGTATCAACTATAACAACAAATGCAGCTTGTACAAATAATCTTCGTGTGATGTGTCTATGAGATTGTATAGCTATCGATCCTCGTATTGAAATAGAACGTCAAAACACAACATCAATAAACACTAGAAGGCTTTTGGGTCGCGAGTCACAAGAGGCTCTCTTGCTTCATAGCATGAATATTTTCTACATGATCTTTCAAGTTGACCTCCAATGTGGCATCTGGATCTGATAATTGCCTCTGAAACAGATGACGTCATTTATCACGTTTGTTTTGACCTCACATCTTGTACCTGCACTTACAAGATCTCGAAAATGACGTTAAAATAGTGGACAAGCTGACATACAAAGGAAACATGATACATAGGTATTGGCCAATTACTAGCACATGCATTCGAATGCATTTGTATCTAGCAGTTGACACGTCTCTCCGTTTCTACTCAAGACAGGGTCCTACGGTGGGACAACAGAGTGCCGAGACTGTCACTCCCTACCTATATGTACCATCCAGGAGAATGGGGTGTCTCGGGTAGGTAGGTACCTATTTCAGTGTTAATGCATCATGCATCCATGGTATCGAATGGAACTTTCTATGCTAGGAAGGTGCGTCTGCTGGGGGTATAAACCCCCCCTTCTCCCCCAACTTTTCGACCCTCGTCTTCCCAATGGCTCTCGCATCGGCTATTGAGAATCCAACATGGCGATACATTATTGTCTTCTTCACTGCTTCTATTTACGATAGGTATATTCCTTGCCGTGCCTGTTCTCATGACGTGTCAGGGGTTTCGATTGGGAATCTGGGAAGTCAACGAGATCAATCTTTCACAGGTTATACATCATGAGCTGGATCATAAGGTGGATCAAACCAAGGAATATTGCCTAATGAGTAGCTGGAGTAAAATCTGCGTAGTATAAACATTAAGATTCTATTTGACCCCGGTCCAAGGTAGTCTACCTAATCCTCCCTGGATGGCTGAGTGGGTGAGAGACACAAGGTCATCTGATTGCTAGGTGAAACAGTGACTACGGGTGATACCGCATTGGGAAGCCTAGCAATGGTGAAACTGGTGAGGATTTCGATCCTGCGCTGGGAGTAATTGGGGCACGGATTCCTTTTTTTTTTTGCCCCCGTTACTTAACAAGCCACAAAAAGACTGCAAGAATCCGAATTAAGAGCCTTGATCGTCCAACCAGATACGATGCTCTCGTTTTGATGAAGCCGCAAGGGAGTTTTGGTTGTCAGAAGTAAAACAAAGTTGGAACCTTTGCCCAACAGGATATATAGGTAGATCAGACGCTCGCTCTATACACGCTCTGTCAGCCCCCAGGCACAGGCCGGGGCCTGTGTCGTTAAATAGCAGCATGGCCGGGAAATTACACGTTGGCATCGAAATCCTGTAGGTTTTGGCAGTTTGAAATAGGTGGGCGAGATTAGCTACGCTGCCCTTTCAAAACGACAGGCCTCTTGTTTTTCATGGGACTTTCTGTGGAGCCAGTTTTGGCTGCCTCGTTGGGCGTCCTTGCATGATTTATCTAGAAACGTTCTTGTATCGTTGAGGATTCGATTCGGAGTCCACCTGTGTGGCTGGTATCTACGGTACTACAGGCTCCAGGACTGGAATCCAGCATTCGTAGCATAGCTGATGTACTATGTCATGAGGAAACAAGGGTGTCTTCAGGGGAATCTGTGCATCGAAGAGGATTAGAAATGGGGAAAGAGGGGGGACACCCTCGAGCAGAATGTCCACGGGTAGGACTTTTAAGAGTACATCAGCGAGTGCATGGCATGAAACAGACATGACGAAAGAGACACGGAGGTACAGAGCAGATGGGACATGATCTAGAGAAGCGGGAAAGACATGAAATGGGCATATGGTCTCGTGAGGAAAATGTGAAAGGGGTGATTGGCAGAGACTAGACGTCCGAGGCATTGGAAATTCGAAGCTTGTTTTTGTTTTCTCAATCCATCTCGGTTATGGTCTCCTAGTTGCCGTTGGCCTGCATGCCCGCTGCTGCGGCGGCTTCTGCGTTGGCAGCGGCGACCATGGCCTTGGCGTCGGCTTCGTGGAAGACGCCTTGAATGACCAGCTGTTCTTCGGGACCGAGAACCTTAGTCAGACTCTCATAGAGCTGAGGCTGTTCTTGCTGAAGGTCTGAAATTTAGGTTAGCGGGTGACACGTAAAGGGGATAGATACTCTTCATGTAGATCACTTACTCAGCAGAACATGCTTGAACATGCCATATGGCTCCACCTTGTCCAGAGGGGTCTCCAGAAGACTCTCCTCGTCCATGTCGTCATCATCATCATCGGTATAAGAGCCGAACTTTTGAGCCTCCTGGTTGAGGAAGTCGAGGTAAGCGGCACTCTCGTCGGCGACGTCGTCTTCCTCAAGAGCTGCTTCAACCTCGTTTTCGTCCCACTCAACATCTCCATCCCAGTCATTGTCCTCGTCGTCCTCATCATCCTCGTCATCGAGGGTGAAGTCGGACTCCCTGGTAGCATCCTCACGTTCTGGACAAATTCTTAGCCTTGGGGGAACATGACGGGAGGGTTGGGGATACGTACGCTTGAGAGCAGCAGGCAGGGTCTGGAAGAGTCTGGTCACACCCTGCAAAAGTCTTGGCCATCCCTGCTGGACACTGACCGGAACATCGGTGGCCTTCAGGGTCAGCAGAGAGCTGATTGCGGCAATGGACAGCTTCTTGTCGTGCACACGTCTGAAGTTGTCGATGTTAGCGAACCAAGTGCTGAAGAACTTGTTGGTCCAGCCCTTAGCCTCCATAACCTGGAGACTGAGAGCTGAGTTGTAGTAGATGGCGTTGATGACCATCTCCATCAAGTGAATGCGGTACGACTTGGTGTGTGCCTCGCCGGCGTCGATAACCCGCATAGCCATCTCAATGAACATGGGAATGTACTGGTCAATATGACCCCGAAGGTTGAGCATCAGGGTCTCAGCAAGCTTGCATCCGCAAATGCGGTCAACGCCACCAACCTTGTCGTCAGAGAAGATGTCCTGAACCATACCAACCATGGCGTCCAGGTAAGCTGGGTTCTGAACCAGCATATCAGAGCCATAGGCGACATAGTTGTCAAGGGCGGGGAGCATGTCTACACAAAACAAAGTCAATACAATAGAAATTCAAAACGTGTGAACCAATGAGAACTTCTCACCTTCGAGATATAGCTCAGCACCAGCCTTGAAGGTCTTGTGAATCAGCTCGAAGGCTTGCCACATGGAGGGAGAAATGGTCTTGGATGCGAATGTGCAGCTGTCGATGATCTCGAAGATTTCGTTGTAAAGATCTAAAACAACCAATTAGAGCCGGACATAAAACTGATAGATTCAAAACTTACCATAGAGTTTGTTCTCCAGGGTGATGCTGATAACGGGCATCAAGATGGTCTCAAGGTGCAGAAGCACGTCGGGGGTGCTTTCCAGTGTGAGAATGAGGGTACCGATGGTCTGCAACACACCCAGAGCGGTGATGCTCTTATCGTCCAAGAAATCACCGTATCCGTCTTCATCACCACCCTTGGAGGCGTTACGCTCCAGGAGCTCACCAACAATACGCATGTAAGTATCGCGGAGCTGCTCGCTGAGCGCCACAGCGAATGGAGTAAGCTCGGCAGAGAAGACCTCAACAAAGTCCTCCATGACGTTAGCCAGAGCATCCACATCGACCTCGTTGGCCAACTTGAGAAGCTGCTGCATAATCTGGGGGATATTCTGCTGCATCGATGTACGGATGACATCGTGACGGATGAGGGGCTGTAGAGCAAGGGCGGCCTCGACTCGCACGGGAAGTTCGGAATCGGTCATGGACTCGAGGATATTTCGGTAGATAACCATCAGATTGTTTGGGTCCTTGAAGTCGAGCTGCTCAAACTTCTCCAGGGTGTCGCAAGCACGAGCACGGAGGAAGCCGTGAGGACTGCGGAATTCGGGGAAAACATGACGGACAAAGAAGTATTCGACCTGGTCAGCAATCGGGCTCTTCTTGCCCAGTATGACGGAAGCAAGCGAGCCAATCATTCTCAAAGCACCCTCTTTCTCCCTGGGCTGTTTCTGTTCTTCCGGCGCAGACTCATACTTGCTAACAATACTGTTCACGAAGGTGAGGATCGAGAAGGTCTGCTTCTTGCGATTCTTGGTGAGAGAAACCAAGAAGTTGGTGGCGGCAACATCAGGAGCGGACACTTCCTCGTAAAAGTTCAGCTTGCGGTGGAGATACTCGGATGGGTCGTCTTCGAAAAGCTCAATGTCCTCGTCGGACTGGCACAAGATAGGGAAAACGAAGTGGGCGATCAGGTTGTCCATGTGGGGCTTCAAGTGGTCCCACATAGCCTTTGGCTTAACACACTCCTCCATGAAGACCAAAGTATATGAAAGTGCCGAGTTGCTGAGCCATTGCGTCTTGGACACCCATTTGTCAATCTCCGTCAAGTATCCCTTGAGAATTTCGGGGGCGAAAGTGCTGATGAAGGTTTTCGCATACGGTGTGTAGTCGGGGGTAGAAGATTTCGTGATCGTGGTTGGGTTGCCATATCGGATGAATAGGCGGTTCAGGTTGGCGTATGACCACTTCTTGCACTTCCACCAGTGGTTCATCTCCCTCTCCTCCTTCGTATCTGCCATTGAGCTCGCAGGGGGTGTTTTCGAGACGATGCGCAAGAATAGTGTACACCAGTCTACAGT